GTCAATTGACCCATCATCGGATTGCTTTATTTTACATTTGTCTGTATCCAAGCCTCAAAACAGATGGGGAGTGTTTAGTTGGCACTTAACAGAAGATATTGGAATCTCACTTTTTAACTGTTTGTCCTAAAATGATGATTGATATATGCCTTGGAAGTATCAATGTCCAAACCATGATTTTCATGAATATGGTACCGTCTTCTGTTTAGTTTTCTTATGTTTTGGTGTTTTCATCCTTTTACAGTTAAGGCAGCAGAAAGATGTATATGGGCATCATTGTTTTAAGTTCTTGTCCAGTTACATATATACATGTTCGGAATGCGGTCCTCTTAAGGCTGGATTCATAAGGTACCTTCCTTTGTTGTTTCGCTTTAAGTTAGATAAAGCGAGCCTAGTTACTATTGGTACGTGTTTTGATACTAACAAAATGGTTGTACTTTTTTTACTATATCACAGAGAAATAGATGAAGCTTTGAGACCCGGGGTGTATGCTTTAATTGATGCTTGCTCAGCAGATGATCTTCAATATCTTCATACGGTATTTGGAGGTATGCTTTTATAAGCTGACCTCGCCATAAACTATTTTCAATGGACAACATTTTCTTTTTCAAGTTTCATATGTTGCAATTTCCTTCTATATGCAGAGGGTCCTTGCAGAAACACTTTGGCGTCTCTGCAGCATGACTATAAAGTGTACTTTCAGTACGCAGGAAAAGTTTGATGTGAGTGTACTCCCTTTGGATCTGTCCATTCAGATTAGATCATCTTTTTCGGTTTTTATACGATGAAGACATTTTGGTGGGTATTGTTGCTGCTGCCTTTGACGGGGGACATAAATTCTGCAAAATATGATCCTTTTTATGAGGACTACGAAGTGCTGTGAAGACAGGAATGATTACAGTTATTCGCTTCGCTTTGTTGCAACATGTTAATCACATCACTGGAGGATCATCGATTCATCATATGCTTGAAGACAAATGTTGTTGCGTATCGGAAGAGCTATTGAATGGGAAAGACGACCTTTTCTCATTCTTACTTGAAGTTCATAGGGGGAAGAAAGACAATTTGACACCCAGGCGTGAACCAGTTTTATCAGGAGATTGGATTATAGGCAAGTAGGTGATTCATGTAGATTCGATTCTTATTGAGTTTTAGGTTCATAGTGGAGTCAAATTAGCTAATGGTTGTACCATGCAATTTTGAGTATTCTCCAATCTAGTGTAAATGGCCTCACTAAGATTGTAACATTTGTAATTTGTTTCTGTTAATTTTTTTCCCATTTTTTCGAAATAGAAGTTGTACACTCGTACAGAAGCAATGATAACGAGTATGATTCAATTTGCTTATTCATGCTTTTCATCTTTCTTCTAGTTGAGATAATGTCCGGTCTCGCTTGGGATTAACCCACCATACTCTTTATCTTTATATATTTCTCGACACGCAAGTAAGGAGGATCCTCCTCTGATCGTAACAACTCGCCGGCATCGGAGTGTAACATGCGACCTCATTTTGACTAAAATCATAAGATACAGGGAAGCAAAAACGAGAGGCTCTAGTTATAAGCCGCGTTGCATCATAGTTTCTCCATACCGACTGTTTGCATTTCGCAGCGACTTATCAGATGGTTCGGTAGTCGCGACTCATCTTTATATATGGCTAATTCAGACTTAGAGCCTCTCGTTTAATATATATCTTCTATGGTATGTACCTAAGCTCTTGTGTTGGGCATGTTGGTCGGAAAATCCTGAGTGGACCTGGGCAAGAGCGTTTTAGCCCAACAATCTACTCATCGGTCTCATCCCAGAATCTGCACTAGGCCTTGAAAGTCTTCTTCTTTCAGCATTCTGCAATAGACAACACAGGCATACGCATCGTGTATTTTGAAATTTGGAGGCTGAGTGACAAATGATGCACATATTCAGCAGCACACGCATTACTCATTAGCTTCTCGCTTGAAGGATTAATGTTATCTTCAGGTTAGACCTGATCATTTAAGGGTCAACCCGAAGGATGAAATGGGCGGATTTAGGCAAGCAATAGACCCTTTCGGCTCGGGACATGCCCGGTCGAGTTTGTACATTAATTCGGCATTTCGGTGATCATGGGAGGGATCGAACAAGAACTTTTTTGGGCCTGGTATTAGGCCTAGCGGCCTTGTTGATGGTCTCTAGTCTAGTTTAGATGCTCGGCTTAAAAGGGGAAAGACAACCTCCGTGCCCAATTTTCCAAAAAGGTGAAAAAGGCATAACTCTTCTTGAATTCGTGATCTAGAGTGGACCCAGGATTCGGTTGTGGATTGAATCATGAAGACCCATCGCAAGAAGACTCTTCCTTGTAATTGGCTTGCGGAGCCTCCGCAGGCTCTTTTAGATTTATTATGCTCATATGTTAGCACAAACTTTGCTCTAGTTCTAATGACAGAAGCAAGTACAACATATCAGGCTAGAATCTTCATCACATTACTAGCCAATAAAATTTGTCGCTAAAACCTACGAGTCACAATTGTGGATCTTTAAGTTTCACCTTTCATACCACGAATGAGGACTTTTGATGGACACTTTGATGTCACTTATAAATATCTTTAATTAATAGCTTTTTTTTTTATTGTTCATGATTTTCCTTATGACAAAAATCATAAAGAAAAAGAGGAGTGCTAAAAAGAGATTTGTTTTGCATTTGCACTTACATGTATCACATCTACTGTTTCCCTATTTAGTAAGGTGGTTGGATGTAACATATATCCTTGCCAAAGTACCATATCAAGCAAAACCTCATCTTGCATTCATATCTCCACCGTCCCTTTTCTCCAGGATTCTGAGCAAATCCAGTGACAATTATAGCTTACCAAACATTACAGTGAGATTACTACATGCGAGAGAGAGAGACAGAGAGAGACAGAGAGAGAGAGAATTGCATTTATGCCATTGCCCAAATTTTAGATTGAAGACCCACCTGATATGAACTCTGCAGGGAATTTTGAAATTTGAAGGAGGAAAGTTCTTCCATGGCCAGACATCATCCTATGCCCATGTCATGCCTTTATTGCATTACCACAAAAGTAATTCCCACTTAATAAAGAAAATTGTTTACACCTGCTGAAATTGAGTTCCAACTGGCAGTGTCTTCAACATGTCACCTTCATCTCTTCCTAGCAATATAAATGAAGGCACGCCCCAAAATTCCACCTCTTTAATTGTGGGTGGTTGGGCAATTTTGAAGACCACATGAGGGGCACTACAGTGATATGGGTTTGAATGTGAATTGGTTGATTTGGTCGTACAATAAGGTGGAAATTTCAGAAATTTATATTGATCAAAATGTTCACGAGGCCTTGTGGAAACCCAAGGGCTGATTGTCAGTGAGAGTCTGCAAATTGAGAGCCAACTTGTCTGGCCAAAAGCAAACAAAAACTTATAGGACCAACTTGCAAGACATTGCTTGAAGAAACTGCAAAGGCTTAGCCAGGACTATGTTTGCATTATATAAAAGGAGCAATTGCTTTTCCTAAAAAAAATTCCCAATTTCATGTCCATTTTTCCTTTCTTTTTTCTTCCATTTTGCCACCGATATGATAATCACTTGATGGTCAATTTTAGAAAAAAGGACGATACAAGTATCATAATTTTCATATGATGCTTATTTAAGCATCGTAATTTTTTCTATCGATCACTTGAGTGCATCGTTTTTTTTTTAAAATTATGACATTCAAGTAATCGATTAAAAAGTTACGGCATTTAAGTGAATAATTTTGAAAAGTCATTACACTCAAGTGAGCATCACATGAAAATTATGACACATGAAAATTAGTATTCTTTTTCTTTGGCCAAAAAAAGATTTAACTCTTTGCTCTATCTTTAATTTCTCTCGCACTAATAACACCGAAATAATCAATTTATCCTCGGTTGAATTTACGATGTAATAACTTTTTTTCGCAAAAAATAATTACATACGAGTCTCTTTTCTCTCCCCTCTCTCATACATAATCTATTGGCCCACACACACTTTGTGTGTTGGCTCTTGTAATTGTCATTACTTGGCACTAATGACAAATCCCTGACTTTGCCTCGGCCCCATGTGTTGTGTATAGTGGAGCCTAGATTACGCGATATACTGCCTTTTGATTATTATTATTATTATTATTATGATAGGTAGACCATAGGAACTTATTATATAATAAGCCTACCTACATATAATTATTGAGCTATAACAAGCTGTGCATTAGGTTTGTCCTTTGTGCAGATAATAATTGTTAAATTATCGTGTCAGGAACATTGTAGAACTTACAGTCTGATTGAGTAGCTGCAGCCAAAGCTCAGATTTTTCAGACCTTATAATTAACCAACCGGAAATTAGATAAGACGAGGTAAATTAAAAAAATAATTTAGAAAAATCACTTTTTTGGGTGTTGAATATCATTAATTGGAAGCACCAAAAAAAGGTAGAATTTACAAGACCCAGCTTTTTTATCAATTGCAAGAATCCTGTGACAGCATTTAAAAGGTGAGGCCACCGTGGATTGGTGTACAATTTATTACTCTCTAAGTAAACCAAAACATTTTTATTTTGCTTTTCAAATTAAATATCTTATTGCCATTGCAAAAAAACGACTTCATTTCCAAATTATTTCGGTTATTGAATAATTATTAGCAAAGACGCAAACTCTACGAGCAATTTCAGAAAGACTAAAAGGGCTATAGTGTATGCATAATGCGAAAGAAAGAAGGAAGAAAAAACAATATTTTCAAGCCTTGGATAGTTCACAATCAAGGACTATGAGGGAATATGTTATATAAATAGTGCAAATATTCTTTTCATTGGATCAGAGAAGAATAACATTGAAAAATTCAAACAATTAATTTACACATGAGGGAGACATTGTAAAAATGAATATTAAAATAAAAAAAATAGTACAAAAAAGAGGGATTAATCTCCATGACTTGCGCAAGCAGCTAGGCTCCCACGAGTGCACAGTGCACAATGATCATGTATTGATTTATTTTCATTTTTTTTGTGTGGTTGATATTATAAACTGTGCTGTGGTCATGCAAATTGGAGCTGATCTTGTGGCAAATTTTTCCTTCTTTTACAATAAATGGAGCTGGTGTGCTTGGGCTGTTGCTCTGAAACAAGCGTACGACAAGAATCAAATTGCACCCAATTGACCTCAAACAATAGTGATCTGAGCGAATCTTATTTCAGATTGCTAATTTAATAATGTGCCATTAAACAAAGATCACCAAATCTGTACTCCTCTCTCTTTCTTACCTTGAGAAATCTCGTGTGTGGGTTCACCTCTTGTGAAGTCAATGCACCGGCTCTGTGTTCTTCTTCCTCTGCTTCTTCTTCTTCTATCATCATCTTCTGCCTTTGGAATGGATCTGAGGCTCTCTGTACTCTTGTGCCGGTATGAAGTTCTCTGACATCCACCTCCATTGTTGTGCAAGCGCTTCTTCTGTTCACTTGGGTTGCTTTCTTTTCTGGGTTGTTATGCTTGTGACTTGGTTGAGCATGGCTCATACAGATGCTGAAGGAGTGAGAGTTTGGTTGGTCAGCCTCTGAGAAAGGGCATTCAAAGAAGTTTAAGGTACGATGCAGTTTCTTCTTGAAAGAAATGATCTTCTTCCTTCCATTTTGTTTTTTTGAGTGCTGATATGTTCAGTTCTTCGCACTGTCACTGGAAATCCTTTTCTGGGCATTTTACTTCAATCTTCTCGACTCTCTCTCTCTCTCTCTCTCTCTCTCTCTCTCTCTCTCTCTGCTTCACTGGTCAATCTTGATGAATTCTGAAACTCCAGAGTTTGATTATCTGACTCTGAAGGCAGACATTAGTGAGTAGCTGATCGCTGAAAGTTTCTGAAGGAGATGTTTATGCTCAAGAACTGTGTAAAATATTGTGATGACAGCTTAGCTTAAGACCCAGTGATAAGGTTTCCGAACGTTTCAGATCCCAGACATGAGGAAGCTACTCTCAGTTTTGTCTGTTGTGGCCAATTATTGACATTTTATGTGAAGGGATCTTAAGATTTTCTGGTTTTATTATTAGTTTTGAGCCTTAAATCTGTTTTTGTCACTTTGTTCCTTAGAATATGCCTCGAGACAGTCGGAGATCAATTGGGTATAGGTCCTTTGTCACATGCGATGATACGAAGGGAGTTGTAGAATGTGGGACAATCAGAAGATCCAAGACCAGTTCTCAGAAGATGGAGCAGAGTATCGAAAGACGAACCATAATAAAACACTCGAATAAGTCCTCGGCACACAAGACAGAGAGGGAAGAACTGGTCATGAGACAGACTGCTGAAGAATCTGGAGGACGAACCTCCTATCAGCTGTTAGAGGTGTCCAAGGGAGCTCAGAAGCTGAATAAGATGATAGAAACATGGTCAAAGGGGCTAAACTTTGATGGGCAGTACAAAGATAACATTGCCAACGACTTGTTGAAAGGAGCTCTTGATCTGCAGGAGTCTCTGGCAATGTTTGGGAAGTTGCAAGCGGCTACGAAATATGTGGCTCGGTTGAAGCAAAAACAGGAGAAGTCCAAGGGTGTAAGAGGAGATGAGATGGGGTTTGGGAAAACGAAGTCTGATCCATTTGAAGATCGAAATCGATTCCCGGGATTTCAGAAACCACAGCTCTTGGGTGATGGATCTTCAGAAAGGCATATTGAAGAGCTCAGGAAAGTGATAAGAGAGAGCTTTGCTAGGCAAAATCTGCTGCCGAGACCTATGTATGGAGGGGAGGATTATTTTCATCGACAAAACACTGATTCGGTTTCTAGTATGCCCTCTTCTAGCTCGAGCCATTCTTTGACAGTTCACAATGACAATCTTGATTTTGTTAATTCCTCATTTCCATATGTGACGTCACGGGAAAAGGCGAAAGTCCCAGGTGTCGTTGCCAAGCTCATGGGTTTGGAAGAGTACCCTGTCAAATTAGCCCAGAGCCCTCCATGGGAAAGGTTGGATCCCCAGAAGTCTTCTCTTCTGGAGAGGCCTGTTTTCGATGTAGTTATTCCGAAGATGAAGAAGCCTGAGAATGAATTTCAAAAAGATACGGCGCAGAGGACACTCAGAGAAATAGTTGATACCATGCAACTTAAAGGGCTTTTGAGAAGTAATTCTTCTAGAAAAATGAAATCTCTTTCGCAGCTTTTCGATGAATGTGATTCTGAGGAGCAGCCTGTAATTGATGTTCCTCCTATCGTGCTCATAAAGCCTTTCAGCTTACCGCACTCAGAAGCAAAGGAGCACCTTTCGCAGAGAGACGGAGTCTTGAACCGACAATTAATACTCAAGACAATGAAATTGAAAGAGGAATATGCCTCAAAATCAATGGATCCTAAAGGAGGGGCTGGGAATTGTGAAAAGACAAAAACTGTGGAAGAAGAGGAAGACACTTCAGTCACTAGGCCTACCCAGCAAGGAGGAGAAAAGAAATTCAAGGAGGACGATAATAAATCAACCAAGGAAAAAATATTAGGAAAAAGTTCAAAGAAGACGAAACTACCTGCCCCTGCAAGCAAGCAACCACTTAAAAAAGAGGCAATTGGCAGGAGACCCAGTGAAAATGAAAAGGTAATGAAGAAGGAGGTTTCAAAGTCTAGAGAAGCTCAGGATACTACTACCAAGGTCACCAGTGCAAAGCTTGTGAATCCTGTAACTGAAGTAAACAGAAAGAAGAATAAATCTCCTCAACATGGTACTAACTTGAAGAACAAATCAAAACCTGTTACGCACGTTTTGCCCTGCAACCAGGACGATCTAAAAAGTGTTCAGACTCGGAGGGCAAAGGAAAAGCCAGCGAGGGAGAAGAAAGTGCTCAGAACATCCAAGGTAGCTTGCATTTTATTATTGTTCTAACAGCTTTATAGCTCATTAGGCTTTTCAGAATAAGTAATCTTTGTGGTATCATTGTACGACTATATGGTCCTCATATTGTGGAAGTTTTTAAGGCTGAACTCATATGATAGGCATAATAGACGCTCAAGCTTAATTCATTATGTAATTCCACTAGCTCTTATTTGTCCAGATAAATGACAGAGAATGTAAAGACCACGGAGGGAAGACTGATCTTAGCACCGAAACCCAATTTGTTCAGATTGAAGCTATCTCTACTCATGTGGATCAACAAACTATCCCGGAGAACGCAAATGGCTCGGATTTAGAGACCGGAGGTAAAACCTTCTTTATGCTCTGTTCTGTTTTGTTGAACAACACGTTGAATTTTCTGAATGCGTTGATTTACCAGTACTCTATGGTTGAAGAACCAAATATCGTTAAATACCTCTGTCTAATACTTTGTTCGGGCTGAATTATTGTTTAATATGGTTTTCCTTCAAGATCTTGACGATTCTGATAAAAGAGATCTTTGGGGTTGACAATATAAAGTAATCTAGTTCACCTGTTTTTTTATCAAAAATTGGACGTGAAAATATATGCATCATGGTTTTTGTCTTTCAGCTCAGCTAATATTATCTCTGTGAAGGTGCGTTTGTACCTTCTGAGATTCAGATTGCTCCCTAATACCCTATAAATGAGCCTTCATGTGCATAATGAAGTCGCTTATGCTCTCTCTCTCTCAATGCAGAGGATTTCAGCAATGGCCGGAATATTGATACGCTTCCAACCCTCCAACATGAAAGAGACACTGGTTTAGCTACAAAAGCCTGTGATCACATCCCGCAAAGTGAAAATGAGGAGAGCTACAAAAGAAGATGTTACGTAAAAGCTATCCTATTGAACGACCCATCATTTCTTGCTCATGCAGAGGAGCTCTTTGAATTCGCGCAATGCCCAACGGTCGTTGAGGACTTTGTAAAGTCCTATTCTGGATCAGCTAATGAGAGACTCTATTTGGATTTCGCGAAAGAACTCATTGACCGCAAAAGCCTTCAGGCTTGCCAAAAGTCTTATTTCCTCTTAATAACCCTTCAAGGGACCTCCAGGATTTGCATCTCTATGGACAAGCTGTTGGAAGAGATTTGTGATGGAATCGACTATCTGAGCGACTGTTGTGAGTTTGCCTCTGCTAATCTTTCCGTGGATGGCCTCTACGCAGTGTTGAACAGAGATATATGGAGCATAGGCAAGGCAAACGGAACATGGGAATCGGGATGGAGGAGCGGATACTCCTTGCATGATGCCGAACAGGTTGTTAACGACATCGAAAAGGTTCTTTTCAATTGGTTGATCGAGGAAGCGGTCGCAGAACTCGGCAATTTCCATTGTGAGTGAAAATTTGATAGGACGGTCTCAGTCCTTTCTTTTAGAATATTTTCTCTGGTGAAGCTTCCCAAGAGCGTGATCTTCAATTCTACAATGATGCTGAAATCGAGTAAGTTTGGTCTCTTGAAACCAAAAAACAAAGGGAGGACGAGGATATATAGATATGCGCTGAGAGGATTCAGAGTCCTCCGCCTTTGGTCTTTTGCAGAGCATTCGAATGTAGCATTGCTTGTAAATGGATATATCCTTGTATGCATATGTTACCGTAAAAATGGAGGGAAAAAGAAACAAGAGAGTCTGAGAAGAGTCATGGATACGTGAAGCTAACCATTTAGGATTTAGCCCACCATGGGATGGCAAAAACAGGTGAGGTTTCTTCTATTTGGGTTTCTGGTCCAGGTGAGTTTTATATGGATGCTATCTGATACCTCAAAGAAATTCTATCAGGTCAAAGTTTGCTCAAGCACACTCTCTCTCTCTCTCTCTCTCTCTCTCTCTCTCTCTCTCTCTCTCTCTCTCATCTGTTGCATGATTGGTCTGTGACTTTAAAACTAGCTAGGATGGATTTTTGGGCACGAAGTAGTAAATGAAAGCCTTGAACTTTACTTCCATTGTGTTCCAGAGGGTCTTCTGTCATAGTTTGGCCTGTCTTGATGAATTAGATAAGGATAGGTTCTCCACGTTTCACTTGCTTATTGCCCTATTCCTAGGAAAGTTTTGCCGTTGAAAGTGACTATCTTGAGATGAGAAGGATAATGCTTTTAATCCTTGAGATTATCATGATCAACGATTAACCAATTATAAAACATGATGTGGCGGATTTGCATTAGCATATATTCGTTATGCAAACCCAATCTACTAGAAGCAATTAATAGTGTTCGATATTGACTTCACTACTAAGAAGAAGAAAATTCTTCCATGAAGATACTAGAATTTCCTGCAAGGTTTGAACAGACTAAAGGACAATTTTGAAATGCGTTTTCATTGTATATTCATTGCTGTTTAATCTACGGAAGTATTGGATCTGATTAACTGAAAAAGGACGGTCGAGATACTCAGTCTATCTTGTCCGAATTTCTCATGAAGAACCTAATTAAAGAAAGTTTTGCGCAACAAATTATGTGCATTCCGACTCCAGCGTAGTTGGATCATGCCGTGTTCAATGGAACAAAAGGAGTTCCCTTTCATGCTCGCCGTCGATTCAGCTGCCCGACCCATGATTAAGGTCCAATCAGGTTTGGCATATGTTGTTTCCATTCGAGCATGAGCGTAGTTCTCTGATCCTCAATTCCAAAGAAAAACTACGATACAAACATCTCTATATCTACAATACATTCTGAAGCAGAGCATCTGTGAACAAAAGCGGGTCGTGAATAAATTACAACTGCAAGTATATTACCATTGCCATATGATATATACACAAAAAGCCATGAATCTCTAGGAGATCTGCATAACTCTCCAGATCCATGCAACTCTCTCTCTCTCTCTCTCTCTCTCTCTCTCTCTCTCTCTCTCTCTAAGAAGAGGCTCCTTTGAAGATGAGGAAATTGAGCTTCTCCAAGGAAAAGTAGATGAAAGTCCCCTGCTTGTGGGAGAAGTAACACCCAAAGTTTGAGCCCACCACACATTGCCATCCACTCCCATATTCCCTGTCAAACTCCTGCTATCAAATTCGAATCCAGAGAAAAGAAAAATGAGAACATGAGACCCAAAATCATCTTCCGCGAAAAGAAAAAGAAAAAACGGATGGAGGAAGAAGAAGAAGAAGAAGAAGAAGAAGAAGCTGGTTTTTCTGGTGGGTTTTCTGCAAGTGACCTTCTTGATGTGTGAAGCTAGGGAGATGCAGTCCGAGACGTCGAATAGATCAAGTGCTTGGGAAGCAGCAGCCATGGCTTGGCTCTGCATCTTCTCTGGCATGTCGGTCTCCTTCACCATTCCTTTACCTTCCAACATCTCTCTCTCTCTCTCTCTCTCTCTCTCTCTCTGTAGAATCTTGAAGATTATGGTGATTTTTCCACACGCCTATTATAGACCAGAAGCTTCGTTTTTTACACTGTTTGGGATTAGAGCTCGAGGACACCGATTTATATATAGCGTAGACGACGGGAACTGTTCAAAGTTTCAAACTTTTGGGGTGCACTTTCAAGTTTTTGTCCGATTGCGCATCTTCCAATCTCTTTCCCACCCGTGGACATTTCTCTCGCTTGCTGCCATTATTAGTGTTCATATATGCCTGTTTTGATCGTTTCCCAGAATTCTCGAATCGGCCCCTCTTTTACGGATCGTCCCTCCGAAGCTTATCATCTAAAACGTCGGATAAATTTTGGGATTTGTCCATCTGTTCTCACGGTCAATCTTGTTCTCGTTACCAAACTTCGATTCATGTCCCCTTATCGCTTGTACATCCTTATACGAGCGTGAATCGTCGCCTGATAAGTCGCGTGGTGCTTGATCACCAAAATAGTTTATCTATCTTAAAGATACTCATTCTCCCTCTTAAAGATAATCATTTGGCTTTTACTTTTTTTATTTGTCCCTGAAGTAAATTTGGACAATCAAATTAATATAGTTTACATCAAGAATGTGGAAATCAAAGTAGGAGATAATGTGCGTTGCTAACGTCATCCTTCACCTTTTCTTGTTCTTTTGTTTCTTTTTTCTAGTCCGTTTGCCCCAAAAGTCTCAGCTCAACCCCATCTTTCCTTCCTAAGTGGGAATGATATCCAAATGCCGAGTCATCAATATCTATTAATCGGCAAGGTTATTGCGTATTGTACTGTATAAGATTCATTATACAGTGTTCCCTTGAAATCCTTCTGTTCAGAACACGATGATGGTGATATCATGTTAAAGGCTGAGGGTGATTTTAGGACCCAACTCGTCAATTATGGCAGCAACTATTTGGGCAGCAAACGTATTTCAATGTCTAGCGGTTGAGCTATGCTGTCTTCGGGCCTGTCAAATTTGTCTTTTTCCCCTCAAACGGTAATCAATCAACCAAATCTGATTTTCATAATTCAACAAATAGAGGAATTGACGTGAGGGACGGTCTGTCCGATAGCGCCAACAACGTTGGCACCGGTTCAATTGGCGGTCACCAACACCACAAACGAGGCACGCCGATCAAGGACCGAAAGAAACCTTGGACTGATAATTTGGCTTTTTAGCTTACTTTCGTCTTTGGAAGACTGGATCCCGGGACCACTCTAGATTACGAATTCAAGATGAGTCGTGCCTTTTCTTCTTTTTGGAAATCTCCGTGTGGATACTGATTTTTCCTTTTAAGTCGAGCCAGAAAGTCCTTGCTCGGGCCCTCCCTGTGATTAGAGAAATGCTAAGTTCGTATACAGATTTGATCTCCGCCTGTCCCGAGCCGAGATGGGTTGTTTGCTTGCCCGGATCCGTCCATTTCATCCTTCGGGTCGGCCGATCCACGGCAGGTCCATCTGGCTTCCCGTGCAATGACCGGGTCCGACTTAAGGATGGGCTTTAATCCTTCACGCGAAGAGCTAAAAAAGCAATGCGTGTATTGCTGATATGTGCATCATCTGTCACTTATCCTCCAAATTTGAAGTGCAAAACGTGTATGCCTGTGTTGTCTATGGCAGAGTGCTGAAAGGTGGCTTCAAGGCCTAAGTGCAGATTCTGGGATGAGACCGATGAAGTAGGTTCTTCAATGGAAAGGGAATTGAAATGATGATGGGTTTGGTCTTGGGCTAAAAAGCTCGAGATTCTCCGACCAACATGCCCAAAGCAAGAGCTCTTCTAGGCCTACCCATTTGGAACAAACACGGGCCTAGTCCGCTGCCGAGCCGAACCAGTCCTGTGTTGTCCCTTAGTCTTTGTCCTCCTCATACTAACATTCCTTCCAAACTCACCTCGGCACACAACTGCTGACCAATCCATGAATACGAATGTCTCTCCTCTCGGAGAGAGAGAGAGAGAGAGGGACTTTTCTGAAGTCAGCTCAACGCGGGGCAGAATGTACGAACTCTGATCTAAACCCCTACCGCCCTCTCTCTCTCCTTTTATCTTCTTTATTTTCCCTTTCGTGTCCTCACGAGCCATGACCGTGGTGTGTGCATAAAAGATCAGCAACGGCACGACCAGAACAAGAGAGACCCGCCAATCGATCTCGAAATTCCAATCCAACGGGAGCACTACGAAACACGGGTGGACCGGCCTGCTGGCGACCCTTGATTGGTGCTAATACAGCTCAACAACTCCCTCATGACAGCAAAGTATATGCCATGCTCCCCCCTCCTAAAACACATAATTAAACTGATGAATTATTTAAAGAGTTTCCAAACGGAAGGCCAAATGCAAAGCCCGCAACTTTGAATGCTCCGTCCCACAAACAGTGGGAAGGAGACCCATTATTATCTCGAAGTCTTCACATGCAAAACCCATATCCTGAAGATGCAATTTTTTATGCACATATTCTTAGACGCCACTCGACCCCCACATTCGAGCTTGAGAAAATTAGAATAGAGGAAAACCCAAAATCAAGAAACAGAGTAACCCCCCGAAAACAGCAGAGGGGAGAGAGAGAGAGAAGGAAAGCTCGCGTCTTTCTGATTCGTGGACTTGAAATTGTGAAAAATCTCTTTCTTGCTCCGACTGGCGATACTGGGTCTCTCTCGGTTGTTGCTCCTCTCTGCGCGTTCTCGAGTTCGGAGACGGCGTTGTTCTGGGGCAGCGAGTGATGGGCGACGAGAAAGCGGCGATGGCGATGGGGAGTAGGGAGAGGGAGAGAGATCGGGAGCTCCTCATTCCGGTGGCCGGTACCGGGGGCGACGAGTCGTCCTCGTCCTCCTCCAAGCCCTCCCCTTCTTCTTCGTCTCTGCACCAGACGGGCCGCGAGGTGCGATACTTTCTGCTCGATTGATTCGTTCGCGGGTAGTTTTGTGAGTCCCGGTGGTTTGATTTGATGCGAAGATTGGAGGGAATTGAGGGGAAAGTTTTGAGCTTCGTCGGGCTCCAAAAGATGGGTGTTTTGAGAATCTGGTTTTGTTGCTTTGTGCTGTCTATTGGAGCTTGTTTTGGTACTTTGGGTTCTTGTCTGACCTGCTTTCATGTTTTTTCCTCGATGATCTGTGGAGCTAGGTTGATTCGTTTGCGGGTAGTTTTGTAAGTCTCAGTGGTTTGATTTCATGCAAAGATTAGTGGGAATAGAGGGAAAGTTTTGAGCTTGGTCGGGCTTTAAAAGATGAGTATTTTGAGAATCTGGTTTTGTTGATTTGTGCTGTCTACTGGAGCTTGTTTTGGTACTTTGTGTTCTTGTTTGACCTGCTTTCATTGTTTTTCCTGGATGATCTGTTGAGCTAGGTTAAATTAGTGCTCTTTCTTTGGTTTTGAGCTTGGTTTGTTTGGCTGATTTTGATACCATATGGTTGGCGAAAGTAAGAATTGCTGTGAGATTTGGGGGAGTCTTTGTTATGCAAAATTTTTGTACGTTTTGTGATTTCATGCCAATTTTCCATATACTTCTATACTCTGTGGCCTTCAGAAATTTGATGTACTGGATGGACCTGATACATATTGGATTTCTTTGATTAACAGTAATTGAATTTTCTAACTTCGTAGTTTTTCTATGCCTATTAGTGAGGGAGATCCCTTTTTCCAAGCCTGAGCGTAGCATGAACACTTGTACAATTGCTCTTATGTGTTGGAAGCTACACCGATTGCTTTAGTGCTCCACTGATAGTATCAGTCTGATAGAACCATGTGTTTGTGCTAACACCTAATTCCTACAGTTCTCCTCGTTCTGATAACCTTGCTCAAATTTTGTCTAAGACCTTTAGCCTTCTTCTATTTATTGGGAATTATTTGTTAGGTTCTGTTAGTATCATGTTAGGCGACAGCTGAAAAGTCACCAGTATCTATTCCTCTTATTGCCTCATGATGTGGGGTTGAAGAATACCTGCTCAGTTCTTGAATAGCTGTCAACATGAGATATTGGATTAATCTGATGGAGCTTGTGATTGTCTTCCAATTTAGCTTCATTATGCAACAAGTTCCCCTGGGGATGGGAACATACTAGAAAATTTTGTATGGTACTTCGTGAATGGACTAATGACTGTAAAGATACTTCCATTTGATGTGCACCTACAACTTCATCATAATCTTGACGGAGTTTGGACTTTTTATTTTCCTTGTGTAATTCCTTTTTTGTGTTGTTGATTTGATGTACTTTCTTCCAAATATCATCTTATGGTGACATAAACTTATATTCTTGATGCAGACATTATACAAAGTTGTTAGGAGTTGGGCTTCAAAAAAGTTTATGACTGGATGGTATGTAACTTCTATACCTGTATTTTAGCTCCTTCATCCCTACTTGCTGTTCATCTCTGTTTGAATAAGTCAATATATCTATCCATTGAATAAATTGTGTCAGCTATCCTGCACACTAGTTCATATGGTGAAGATTATGGTGTGTTAAGCTTTTAGCCATAGCATGGATGTTTGACTTTACTCATGGCATTTATTCAATAGTAGTGTAATAAAATCGTAAGTCCTTACCAAAAAAAAAAAATTCATAAGTCTTTATTTGTATTGTTTCTTTTTTTTTTTTTTTGGGAGGGGGGGGAGGGAACTATTAACAAGAGTAACGCGTAATCCTACTATTCACACTTTAATAGGTAACTTTGACAGTTTTCACATTTTATTTTTGTTCAAAATCAATTTGGGGGGGGTAGATTTGTTTGTTTAGGGGGAGGACATATTTTTCTCTTGCCTTCTACTAGTTGAGTGTTATTGGCTTTTCAATCAAGGATGGAAAAAGTATAAATTATCAGTGGGAGGATAAGCCTTCCAGAACAACCCCTATGATTTCACCTTAAAGGATGTTATACAGGAGTCGTACTTTTTACTTTTTATGTCTCATGAACTTGAACTACTTAGTGAGGTCTTAGTTAGGCACAATCATTGGGTCATTCATTGAACGTGACGTTCGATACCCTCTGGTCAATAGATATTGCTTGCCAATTCATGATGGTATTGACCCTTTAGGCGAGCACAGTTATCTCAACACAAACTTGACAGTACCCATGCAGAGCCTTCTAGTAATGAAAATGTGGATGTAAACAATAAAATAGTCATGTGGTCTGAGTATGTTGACAGTAGCACTTTTGCTTTAATACTTCGACCCTTGGATCTGATCGTATGCTTTCTTTTTTCTTTCTGGCATCCTGCAGCGTCATCCTCTTTCCCATTATAATCACATTCTATGTGACGTGGTGGTTCATACACTTTGTTGATAGCTTCTTCTCTCCAATTTATGCACAACTTGGGATTGATATATTCGGTGAGGTTTTTTGGCTCTTGCAGCATAACAGCTATTACTATAAACAGTTTGATATCTGTCTTTTTTGTTTTTATGTTGCTGTTAATGAATAAAGTATGCGGGTTTACTCTACTCTATGTTTTTCTTTTTATTCAGTTGTGAAGGACTCTTCAACAATTCTCTCTATGTCCTGGAGTTGTTTTTTTTTGCTTCTTATGCTTTTTAGTTATTACTATGAACCTGTTCAATCAAAACTCTGGTTTCATTTATATCCTCATTAATGCTCCCTTTGTGTCTTTAGTTTTGTCGCATGAAACCTTCTTTTCATAAACTGTGTTTCTGACTGGTCATATGTTAGCTCTTAGGTGACCACATCATTTGACACTAAATGGTTATTGATCTGCATATTGACAGATTGAGGAGAAACTTTTTTCTATAACGAGTTTCATGGAGTAAGATTTATGTTTTTACTTAAAAAAAAAGGTTATCTACAAAGGTTAAACAGTTTGGCTTTAAAATGCTTTATTCATTGTCATAGAATGAAAAGTATTTATTTACCTTGATTCATCTATGTAACTTTGATCAAATGCAGAATTTTATGATTTGTACCATAGGTATGTTCATGATGCCTATCTGACGTGTCCAGTTAATGGAACCATCTGTTTTCTGTTAGGTCTTGGATTTGTTACATCCATAACTTTCATCTTCGTGGTTGGGGTGTTCATGTCATCATGGTTGGGTGCATCTGTCCTCAGCCTTGGAGAGTGGTTCATTAAACGGATGCCATTTGTTCGTCACATCTACAGCGCCTCCAAGCAAATTAGTGCTGCTATATCACCAGGTTTGAGTTGGTGTTTATTTCTTTTGCCATTTACATTTCAGTTGACCTAGGTAGAGCTCATTGATTTTCCTGCCTTGTTCCACATTCCAGATCAAAACACTCAGGCATTCAAAGAGGTGGCTATCATAAGACATCCTCGAATCGGTGAATATGCATTTGGATTCATCACTTCATGCCTTGTTTTGCAGGTATGGAACTGATGCTGGCATCATGCAGTTATCAATGCATTATATGTGGCATAGCGCTACCTAATTTTCCGCATTTGTTGTTGCTTACTAGCTCAGTTGTAAGCTGTTCGTTTTCTTCTTAATGTTAATCCTATATCAATTTTTTAGCGGTACTGCCAAGCTAACTTCTTGCCTTTACGGCGCCCACTGTTGATGTTAAGTTTAAGCATTTACTTTTTTGGTGTTTGGTAGTGTTTTACCTTAGGGGTTGTAGAAGCATATGGGTTGTGAGTTGATGCTGATGTATTCTGATAGGCTAACTCTGTCAAATTCGGTTGATCATTGTGGGGTTCAGTTTGAAACTGTACTTTGGAGGCCTTCTCTTTTCTGACATTCCAGCTACTGTGTTGACGTCTCAGAGTTTCAAGGCTGGGTGTTTTTAAGGGCTTGTTTGTCTGCTTCCTGTCAAAGTTTTAAATGATATTTAAATTTCACGAAATTATGAAAAAATTATATGTTAATCTACTTGTTGATGTTTATACATTTTAAAGCTTCAGATGGTTCAAATTAAACAGAAGTTAAAATGTGTGGGCTGCAAGATTTTGATTATGCAAAAAGTAAAAGTCAATATTTGGGTTCAAATAGTATACCGCTATGGATAAGTTGTCATTACAGAAAATATTACATCTCCATTATCTTGAAATGATTGTCAAGTGACTAAAAAGAAGTTCAGAATCTCGCTGCATGACTCCTGAAGAAAAAACTCAGCCATTTTGTCTGTGTTTCTATTGGAAAACTTTTCCAGACTTACTCTTGATATCATGCTTAGGTAATTCTTTAATTTGTTCTTCTTGACAATTCATGAATTTAGTACAGTATTTCAAGTCGATTGCGTGATGTCTAACTCATGCAGAATTATTCTGGGGAGGAAGAGCTGTGCTGTGTTTATGTCCCCACGAATCATCTTTACATTGGCGATATTTTCCTCGTTAATTCCAGGGATGTCATCAGACCAAATCTCTCTGTCCGTGAAGGGATTGGTAAGGAATCATGCATAACTTCCCCTATTGTCATAGCAAGTTTCCTTTCCATAACGTGCTTGAGAGATGTTTTATTGACTTAGCTTGCCTTGAAAGTACTTCAGTAACTGCTTTTATTGAGATAGCGGATCCATTTGAATCTCTTGATTTGGGGATATAACCATGTGCCAAGTTAGAATAATCAGCACCATAACAAGAATGAAAAGGTGACGACTTTATAATTTGGAGGTATCTTTATGTCAAATACACATTTAGATAGGTAATGCTTGGACCATCTAATGTTTTGCCCTGTTCAGCATGATGTTGAGGTTTCCTCATTGAAGGATATGTGCAATCTGACCGCTCTCCACAACAAATACTGGCAATGAGTTTTGAAATCTAATATCTCTTCTTTGTAAATTTCAGAAATCGTCGTTTCAGGGGGAATGTCAATGCCTCAGATCCTCTCTACACTGGACTCGCGCATTATGCCAGTCGAAAGAAGTAGACCTGACAGAAGCCAGCTCTAGTCGTGGATGATTTCTTTCTACTGTAATTTGCCATCTTTCGCATCCAATCAGGTCGGCACATCAATTGATTCGCACTGTTAAGGGTTAACTCAAATATGAAGAGTTCGGGGTGTTCCAGTTTCGTGGTCGAGGCAACAAGAGTCAGATGGCATATAAAACTCCGGTTTCTGTTTAGGGTGTAGAATTAGTGTTCTATCGAGATATAGCGAGGGATTATTGTAGAGGTGAATGGCTCTTCGGGTTTTCGATTTTTGATTATTTATGTCCACGATTAGTGTTTGGTTTGGCAAGAGATCTCTCTGGATTATACTAGGAAACTATGTGGTGCTGTCTTGCTACAGTCATTTTACTTAGATAACCAACAATGTAGATAGAAAGGCAAAATTGTTTGTTCAAGTTTCTGCACGGTTCTTGGTGTCCTCTGCTGATAAGTTCTTTTGGTATGTGCGTTCAAATTGATGTTTTGCGGGGTCAAGACAGGATATTAGCTCAGTTCCATGGAAGGTCACAGCACAGTATCATAATAATAACATGTATCTGGGCTAATTCCATTTGAAATTGGGCAAATTTTGGCGATTTCGCGAATACGTCGAGTCGTTTCTATGTAGGAATGATCTGATTGACCGCATGAATCGATTGTCTAGAGAGGAAGGCGGTGCACCGGTAAGGTGCCTCTCCGAAACACTGTGAGGACAGTGAGGTGCCTCATTGCCCATGGTTGGGACCTGCCACCAATGACGAGGCCGGGCTGGCAAGTCCTTATGACTGCAACGGCGAAGGCTTGCAGGCCTCAGCCGCCCGTCGCAGTCTCAAGTCAGATCGAGTGGCTATGAGCAGCAAGCAGAGGGATGATTTGGTCGTTCCATTCTCTCTTTTACTGATATTTCCTTTACAATTTGGTCATTTGGATTGATATATCTACACACACAAATAAAGTTTCGATTAATGTATGAGATATTGATCTTTATAATGTGCTCGTGTTCTCTCATACTAGAAAATCAAACACTCTGTGCATGGAAAACCTTAAAAAGGGAAAAAAAAAAAGCAAAATTGTCCAGAAAGAAAATCCAAATATTTAAACTATAGATATTATGGCTCAGAATGTACCGATTATTGGATTTTAAAAGATTTTCTAAATCTCTTGTCTTGGAAATTCAAATCTTTGGCCATTGGATTCGATAGATAATTCCAATACTTTAAGCAATTGACATGAGTTTTAATTTTAAAAATTTTGCTCAATTCAGTCTTCCATGAAGTGTGTCACCAGACATGGACTATCATGTTGGCGTTTAGTATGCCAAAATAATAATGGCAAATATAACAAGTTAATAGAAAATTGGTCAAGTTACTTAACGGTATTAGAATTCTTAACGAAATGACAAAATTAAGTAGATTTTTAAAATTTCAAAAAAGTGTTTAAGAACCACATTGAATATTGAAGAAAAATGCAAGGGCTACCCATATCAATAGCCCTAAAAATTAGTCGGAAATACTCAAACTCACATCGTGCACATGAAGGGAACATTTTGCAAGCTTTTTAAGGCCGAATTTAAGTCCATTGAATGATCATAATCAAGTAAAGTTGAGCACGGAAAGGAATTCTTTAACCCTCGATTAAGCTCGAGACTAATTTCGAGTGACAAATACGCAAGATGAGTCAAACTCAAACTGGATATTCCATACTCTCAACTCGATCACAATCCCAGTTGAAATCAAGACTCCGTTTGTCTTGCGAAAAATAAATGATTTGGAAAATACGTCCCTGAAAATGATCGTCTGTATCGCATACAAAAACGAATAAACGGAAAAATATTTTCATAAATGTTTAGGCATAAATCGCTGTCAATAACAAAAACAATTTTTATTAACTAATTATTTCATGCAATATAAATGATTATTATTAGGAAATTTTTTTTCCAAATCATCTATCTTTTGCGAAACAAATGGAACCTTAATTATATATAAATAAAAAATTATTAACCCTAATATCTAGAAATATTTTTATATCTCGGGATAATGGCACAAACAGTCCTTGAATTTTGGCCCAATGTGCAATTTGGTCCCTAACTTTTGTAATTTATTCAATATAATCCCTGAACTTTAGGATAATGTTCAATGTGGTCCCTGAACTTTTGGTACATATTCAATTCAATTCGTGAATTATATGAAAATGTTCGATGTAGTCCTTGAACTTGAATTAATGGAAAGGACTGCACTGAACATTTTCATAGAGTTCAGGGATTGAATTGAACATGTACCAAAAGTTTAGGAATGACATTGATCAAAATAAAAAGTTCAGGGATCATATTGAACATTAACTTAAAGTTCAGGGACTATATTGAACAAATTAAAAGTTCAAAGATCAAATTCCACATTAAGCCAAAATTTAGAGACTGTTTGCGTCATTTTCTCTTATATCTCAAAACCCAAAATAAGGAAAAGGCTCCTCCCCAAAACGCCGACGTTTCCGTTCACTTCCCCGTCCGCGGCCGAGATCAACGAACCCGGAAGAAACCCTAGGCCCCAAAGTGGCCTATATAAACCCACGATCTCCTCCTCCTTCTCCTTCACTGCAGCTGTTCTCATCTCTTCGATCTCTCCCTGTTCTTCTTCGTCTCCCTCAAGGGGATCTCCATCCTTCTGTGCTTCCAATTTTCCGTTTCCTGATTAGGGTCTGTGGCGGCATCCGATGCTTCCTCTGTTCTCTTGATTTTCTTGGTTTTTCGATCGGATCAGGTGGAGAGAAGATGGTTTCCCTGGGGGGACGGTGACGATTGTATCGTGAAAGGTCTCGTTCGTCGTAACTGGCCCCGATTTCGGGGCCTTGCCGACCATCCTGATATATCACCACCCATATTCCGAGTCCCCCTTTTCGACGCCAAGCTTCGATTTTTCTTTCTCTTCTTGTTCTTGAAGTTTCGGAGAAATTAAAGTTCCGTTCTTTTTCGCTGGATCGTGGATTTCGTTGCAGATGGGCCGATGATTATACATTCTTTTTTAAACAAAGACAAGCATATGTCCGAATTTGACGTGTGGACACATCTAATCTTCTCTATGAGGCCATCGATCTTCATTGTACCCTTTTCAAGTTCTTCTGTCTCTTGAACGTTTGGGTTTTGTTTTAGTGGTTTTGTAGATCTCTGCACGCTCTCCTGCCGTCTCTTGCGGGATCCGGGTGTGAAGCATTTTCCTTAAAGTTTACGACTTTCGTCATGTTCTTGGACTGTTGTAGCCTATGATGAAAGAGATGCTGTTTGCGCTTGTGGATGAGAATTCGTGATTTACACAATAACCTCTACTGCCTTCCTTCTGAGGCTGCGAAGTCTGTTTTTTTTTTTTCAATTGATTTTGTTATTGACTTTTTCTTTGTTTCCTTTTTCATGGGTATGAAGTTTTTGATTGTGCAGTTTTGATTTGTTGAGGAGTTGGTCATGTGATGATTAGAAGCATAGTTCAGATGATAATCTATGTGATTATAACATTTCATATAGTCTTTCGCTCCTATCTGATGACCCAACCTTGTAGAATTGATCTCTTATTTTTTAAAAGCCTCATCAGGGTTGTTTGCCTTCAGTGTCTTCTCTTTTTACAGAAGATTTGTTGTACAGAACTTTGATAGCAAAATTCAATTTTTAATCTCTTATTATGAGTTCTTTTACTTTCTTCACTGACCAAAAAAGAAAATTTATGCCGTGAACATGTTGGCTCATGCCATTGAGTTGACATAAGAGATAAGGGGATGTGTTGAACCGAGTAATTAGTGTGTTAAAAGCCTAGTTAAGGTAATATTTTAGGGCAAGATCCTGTAGCAGATGCAACACAAAACCATGTTGTGTTTACCCAGACAAAGCGGAGGGGTGTGCCTGTTACTGGAAAACTCAAATTTCGCAGAAGAAAAAAACCCAAAACCAGAACAGAAGTGGAAATTTGATTTTCTTATATAACAACCCTCCACAGATTTGAGATTTGATCTTAGTTTTCTAGTGCTAATCCCTAACTGGTGGAATGCCGGATTAGACAATTCATTGAGGAAGAGAGCTTAAAATCATGGAAATAAAAAATAAAGGATCTGATTAACTAATTCCATAAGTAAGTTTCAAAATAACATATGATGCGACCACGTTCCACCCAGAACGTACACATAATCACTCCGCTCAACTGCCAGATTGAAATCTGCGGAAATTCTAAGGATGCCGATTAGACAATTCATTGAGGAAGAGAGCTTAAAATCATGGAAATAAAAATAAAGGATCTGATTAACTAATTCCATAAGTAAGTTTCAAAATAACATATGATGACCACGTTCCACCCAGAACGTACACATAATCACTCCGCTCAACTGCCAGATTGAAATCTGCGGTAAATTCTAAGGCATTTGGTAGCCCGAATTTATAGAAGGGAAAATGTCAAATAAGAACTTCAAGTGGATCTCTTTTCTCAAATAAGGATCTAAGTGAACAATCCTTCAAGTAAGGATTCAAAATACCCAAACTAGTCTCAAATAAGCATTCAAAGTACCCAAATAATGCTCACCGGCCGGCTAAATATTTGCCGGCCGGTGACCGTGAGACATTTTCCGGCGCCAGAATAGGGGCGATTTTCCGGCGAACATTTAGCCGGCCGGCGAGCTGGGTCATTATTTGAGACTAGTTTGGGCACTTTGGCTTCTTAATTGAAGCATTGTCCACTTAGAGTCCTTATTTGAGAAAAGAGACCCACATTGAGTCTTTATTTGACATTATGTTATCCGGTGTTTGATGACGTTTATTTAAACCGGATAAATCCTAAGACATCCGAATAAAATGCCAATTCGGATAGGAGTGGGATAAACCCGGACTAGATATAAAATTTAAAAAATAACTAAAATATTCATATTGAATATTTTACGGATGATAGAGTGATTGTTCGAATATTGCTTACCGCCACCAAAATTACCGATCATCATCAATTCTGACCACCGCACGATCGCCGTCGCTTCCAACCACACCGTTGCTTCTCGCTGGCGATTGTATTCCGACGGTCGTGCCAGGTTTGCATAGATCATCCTTTTCACCTGAGTCGCATACGTCTTTCACGTCGAGCCCAATGTTTCGCGCATGACTTGCGGCAACTTTTTATGCGTAACTGGTGAGCCGATTGTTCACCTGTTGGTCAATGAAGAACTGCTAGCACAACATCAGCTTCTTGGCGACCACACTCTCGAGCGTCAAGTTTCACTTGCTGTGCATCAAGAACACTGCAACAGCACCGTGGGCGCAAACCTCCTCCTGCGGGCCCATCCAGTGACGCACACCTTCTTCGCTATTGCCTCTCTTAGCCGCTTTCTTCGGCAATGGAGTCCAATCGCACAGCACCCAAAATTACGTGAACTCATGTACGTTGAGAGACCTCATGTTCCCGAGGTCAATTTCTCAAAGACTTGGTGAAAGGGTTTGAATCTCACGTACAAGAGGTGCAAAGTTAGAGATGAGATTTACAAAGATTTTTAAAAAATTTCAAATGAGAAAAATTTTCAATATTAACTTACATTGCGGATTTTCAAAGATTTCAAATCTTATTTTAGGTTGCATCAAACATATGATATAATATTTTTATAATCTGGGATACGTGGAAGATTTCAAATCTCCTTTTATCCTATTCTATTTCAATCCGAATCCAAACAACCCTACATAGGTTATAAACCGGTCCCCCTGAAGAATGTAGAAAAAACACCTAGCAAATCACAATGCGAGCAAAACTGCAACTGGAATGATCGATTTCCATCTGCTTGCGCATAATTTTATGAGACTTCTCGGTATAACAGAAGAACCGTGGACGCCTTTACTTTTCGCTACTGGGTACAGAAACTCAGACATCGTCTTACCTAATTTCAAAGCAAAAGGAATTCCAAGTTCAATGGTGCTTTCAACTCTATCTAGTTGGTGAAGGGGGGAGACTAAATGATGATCATTGATATGCGCCTTCTTGATATCTTGGAACAAACCTTGTCATAAAGACAAAAAGGACTCCTTCAATGGTAGCATATGGCAAATGCTATTTTAACAACTTCAATAAGCCGGGGGTGCAAATATTTTCTTCATTGATGAAATTTACCCACATTTGGTTGGCTCCTTCAACGAAAAGCATTTGGCTCCTTCATCGAAAAGCATCCTTTTCGAGAGACAGACTGCCCATTGTCCCAGATGTTTGGCAAGAAGCAAGGCGAAATTAAGCAAAAGAACCATCAGATGAATGAGCTATGTCCTCCTCCAAGTGGAACTCTGGGTTGGAATTTGGCTTCAATCTCTAGACAAGGGCAATGCTTGAAAGAAAGACTCTGGAACGGAAACAACCAAATCATCAGGATTTAAGTGATAGAACATGAATAGGAAATGGAAATGAACCAAGAAAAACGAAATATCGGTTTTTTAAACTTCTGTTATGCTTTTTTGGTTTAATGAAATTTAATGTGACTGAAAGTTAATGTTATTGCATATGGGAGAAACCGATGCGTAAAAGTAGCTTAAGCAGGAGACAACAAGCTCTGGAGAGGAAACCAGTAAGAAGGGATGACCGGCATAGATCACAGGAAGAATTGCTTCAGATAAGGGGGGAGTGGAAACATGGTGAGTTTAGCATGCAAATGCAGCTGACATGAACAAAAGAACTCAAAGACAACACAAAAGAAGCAAAAGAAACTATAGGGTCAATACCAAGTACAGAGAAGAACAATATCCAAGACATCAAATAGGAAGAAGAGCAATATATGTCAACTTATGGATCATACGAGACAACACTGCATCAAATGACAGATCGGAAGGAATTAGCACTCAAAAGTAATAGCAAGATCAAGTTGGAACTGAAAATACAGAAAATGGTTAGGCACTGAGCCCAGGATATAATACTGTGGCTTCTTCATGATACTGCTTACATATGTTGAAAAAAGCACAGAAAAGTTAGGTAATGAAAGAACATACCGGAATGCTTAGTAGAAGTCCCTGAGAATCAACTAGGACGGGCAAGCTTCTTCTCACGGCAACAGGAACAGGTTTCAACAACTGGAGAACCGTTCGTGCGGATTCCCTTGCATAATCAAGACATGAGCTTGCCTTCTCTGCAGCTTGCTCCGTAACACTACTTGAAACAGCATTATCCAGATCAGATTTCTTCGCATTTTGAGATTTTGACAGCTCAGTGAGAAAAAGCCAGTCAGACTCCATCATATGACGTATCTCAGCTACCATATCATGGCCAAGGCTACAAAACCTGCATTTACAGTCCAAGCCTTCCACAGCCAAATCACCATCTTGAGTAAATTCCCTGCAAACATCCTCCTTGCACGGTTTCCACAAGATAAAGAATCTATTCATGAAAAAGCCCATTTGTCCAGGCCGAAGACATTGATTGGGAGATGTACCAACAGATTCTAATGCATGCTTTGGTTGATAGTCCAGTGTCACGTCAGGCTTGGATTTGAAACGATTTGTTTCCTCCTCCTGCAACATCAGAACACTTCTATAGGTGGACTCACTTATGAGGTTTAGTCTTTTGGCTTCGTCTAGAACAGATCCAGATGTTACATTCAAAAAAGGCACATCTGATGCATCTGCAGATGACAGATTTGAACTTGTATTTGCATTATCCATGATTTCCTTTAGATCATATGGGATAGCACACTTCTCTTCTGCACTGCTTCCTGAGTAAAACAACTCCACTTTCGAGGGCAAAGGACAGTTAACAGAACAGCAAACCAAGATTTTGGTGCCTCTAGATCCAGGAGCTGGGCAAAGGTAACAACCAGCTGCAGTAAGGGAAGTCTGCACGATTGAGAAGAATTATTCCAGTAAAACAAACAACTCCACCAGCTTCTTGAGCTAACTAGAACACAAAATTCCCCAAGGATGACAAATCAGTGTCTTACCATGCCAAGATGCTTTAAGAAAAGAGGCTTAACCTTAAAGAATATACAATTTCTTCAGGAAACAGAGAACATATAAAAGAGTTGTTTCCACAGAAAGGATGTAAAAAACTGAGAAGAAATGCAAGTCGACGAAGCAAATTTACCTTGCATGGAGATCTACGCATATAGCTCAGAAGCAATTTTGACGTGCTACCGCGAATAGGTCTCTGTCTTTGTGAGATGTACTGATGGGTTCAGATCAATATTTGTTAGCAAGAGCATCCGCATCAGAATAATATATCAAAGAACCATGAAAATACTGCATTATCCACATACAGTATGCCAAGAATCCCATTACCTGCGTAACATGTGCAATGAACTTTGCCAGGCAAATGTCCTCAACTTTTGATGGATTGAGGGTCTTCAAATCAATGACAGCATACCCTTGCTGTAATGAGCAACGAAATGTTGATGTGCACACATAGCAATCAGAAGTCAGAGAAAGAATAAGGTATCATTAGTCATAATAGGCTGCTTACATCCATAACAGTCACAGCCTCATGTAACAAGTTTGCACATATTTTGTCAACGTACGCGCGTGTTCTTCGGCAAGTAGAAATCAGAGATTGCACTTCAGAGCTGAAGACACCTGAAATTTAGGGCCTCATTTGTTGAATATGTTAAAAAGTTACAAACAGCATCAACTCAACCAAACAAGAAAATTACCTAACCCCACAAAATAGGATCAATGATGTTTGAATGTAAAAATAAACGTTTTATCCCCGTCATGAGAAATTAATGAAAAAATGACTCATATGTACAGAGAGCAGTCTAACTCCATGAGATCATGTGAAAGGTTTAGCATCAGCGACAACTCACTTGATGAAAATTTCTGCAAGGACATTCGGATCCGGTTACGGACAAATAAGGGACTTCTATTTGAAGGATCTTCCACCCATTTCTGCTCATTCTCTTGACAAATCTGCAGAAAATCAATGCTGCTGGTGCATAAAATGATGAAATAACATCAAAAAAATTTGTAAATTCCCAAGTTTTCTTGTCATCTCACCATGTACATATCTTTCTTCGAAAAATCCAGAAAAGGTCGCACTAAAAGAATACCACTGTTCATTGGATCTACACCATGAGCATACGTGTGTTTGGCAAAAAATTGAGAAGTGAATGCCATTCCAGCAAGTCCAAGCACACCACTGTTGCGTGACAGTCTTATAACCAACAACTCTGCCTGCAAGGTGTATTGGCACTTAATTCAGCACCTAACTCCGTCAAAAGCCTTTGAATTGCAATTTAGTTATTTGGAGTGTCATGGGAGCACTAAAACAAAAGCTGTTATGCTTATAGTATGTCCCAGAGAAAGTCGCAAATTTTAATGTGAAACATCTTCATAAACACATAAGCCGTGGATTTCATAACAAGTCGCTACAGACCTGGTCATCAGCATGATGTGCAAGAAGCAGGATGCCAAATTGCTGTTCGATGCAAACTTTATGGAACATCTCATACCTGTAGTTTGGAATCAACATCAGGAATTTCAATTTCACAAATGATTTTTATCGGGCTAAAGCATCTCCCAGAAATTTCAAAAAGGAATTGCTAACAACAAACATGCCAGAAACACCAATAACGAAGTGATTACAAGAAGTTTTCCCGTATAGGAACCTCATTTCACGTGCTGCTTCTTGCAAGTTTCCTTGCTCTGGTCTCCCATCCTTCCACTCACAACGGGCAATCTCACATCTGATACCTATAAAAGCACTATATTAACCATCAATTCCATCAGAACATACTTATGCTTAGAAAAAAAACAACATGCCTAATGCAATTTGCATGAAAAACAAAAATGATGAGATGATCGAACATACCCATTTCAGAAACCCGCTCACGCACCGTATTTGCTTCCTCTCCGCTCTCTGCACGCAGCCCGTGGTCGACGATAATCGCCAACAGCCCGTCAATAAGCCCACTCTCTTTGCCAGAAGATTCAAGGCCACTGATTTTCCAATCGGCAGCTAGAACACACAGTGCCATGCTATCAGGACCACCGGAGACTCCCAAAGCTGAAAATTTTTAAAAACCCAACATCCTCAATGTCTCGAGATAGAAGCACCAAAAGCAGTTTCTGGTGTACTCACGAGTAACATCTCCAAAATGTAGTCTTGAAGTACTCATTCAACCACACTCTATAGGAGAAATGTTGAGCGAGACATTCGCAAAATAAAGCCCGGTAATGGAATTTACCACTAGACTAAGCAAGACATTTCAACGAACACGGCGCAGACAATGACGAAAGCAGCGAAATTTACATAATATCAAATACTCTCGTCGTAAATGACACCAAGAAGCAATAAGAAACAGAAACAAATGACTAACCAACACGGTGGTGGGCTTTGAGACCAGCAAGAGCCATCCGCTCCGAGAATGTTTCCTTGTAACCTGTCGTAACCTGCACTGGGTGGTGGTTTTCTTGACGCGCGCACTTGCAGAAGAAGCGAGCGAAAAGGCTCGAAGCACGAGACTTGCGGCGGCGAGAAACGAGCGGGGCTGAGCATGTCGAGAGCGAAGCGAGGAAGGTGGTCGACGTTGCTTTGGCCTGCGAAGTGAGGATGAGTCCTCGCGCCATTAGCTTCAAGCTTCGAAGTCTGTTGTTATCTTCTCAAACTGCAGTATTTATATGAAGCGCTCGGCGTTACCTTGGAGAAGCTGTTCCAAGAACGACCTCGTTTCATGTCTAGTAGACAACGACTACTTGTTGGATTTGTCTCCGTTTCATGATGTTGGCTTTTCAATTTCCACGCTTGGAGTGAAAACTTGATGTTGGCCCTAGTGTCGGTGCGTGAGTTGGGGCGAGTCTCGTGTGAATAGTAAGTCATAAAAGCGTATAATCTCGTTGCAACTCGATGATTACGACGAAATCACATTTGAATTAAATATAGCCTCTCTTATTCGCTCCGAAGTTTGCTATTTTTCAGGTACATTCACAGAGATCGGTCATCAGGCTCATTGTTTGGCAGGCTCAATGTGCTTCTTGCAACTCCGAGAGCATCTCCGACACGTCGACATCGCATGGTACTTGACTATAACTCGCGCGGACCCATCTAGATACTCACATGTATGCGCATATACAATATATCAGACATATACATAGTCCAAAGAATGGTGAACAAGGTATTCACTTGACCTGTAAATTGCATAGTCTAACAACGGACGTCGCCTGAATCTGCTTATCAATCTCTGTCTCTCTCTCTCTCTCTCTCTTCACTGGAAAAAAGCTAGTCAAACTGTCAGTTCACATACAAGCAAACCAAAACTGAGAACTTTGTATAGAGGTTGGACAGAATTTACAAAACAATCAGTGCAGAGAACTGCATAAAGAATTGGCCGAGCTTCGGCTTCACTTTTCTGTATGGTTACCCTCAGTTGCAAGGTCGAAAAAGCAAAATGACAATTTGGAAGCACGAGGAAAAAAGAATCGTGTTAGCCCATGGAGCAAAGGCATATTTGCCAGCTCTGTCACACGCCTCTCGCTTGCGATCTAGCGCAAGTTAGCACCCCGAAAGATGAAGTGCACGAAGCTTGTAGCAAGTGTAAAATATCGTCAAGAGGCTCCACTGAAACCTCGGGTGTTTGGCTTCACCCTTCGCATCTCCATTTCTCTGGAGGAGTGGGCTTCGCCACTCGAGCCAGATCGGTGAGCGCTGTATTCACCTGTCGATTCACCGTACTCACTGCTTAAGTATTCTTGGTTCCCGAATGCCATTTTTCTGAACTTTCTCAAGTCTTCCGAGCTTGCTTGCGAACTGTAGACAGTGCTGTGTCCGGGCCTGACCCCCTCATCAAGATCTGATAAGGACATCTCGCCTTCTAAAGCATGAACAATCTGAAGAGTTTACAGCAATAAATTAACCTCATACCCAATTCCTAAACTGGGAAAGTGTCAAATTGACCTCTTTCTAGATCCAAAAGCCAACTAAAATTGACTAAACCCAATTCTTGCTGGACTAACCTTATTGATTAACTAAGTTGGCAAGGTAAAAGCAAAGAGCTTAGGTTATTTGAACATTACCTGGCTCATTCTTGGTCGACGGCGTGCTGAATGACGTACGCAAGCAGCTGCGCAAGAAACCATACAAGCCATCTCATCATGATTGTAGTTATGTTGCAGCCTTGGATCTACCAAAGAGTCGAAGTTTTCATCATCCAGAGCTCGTGTCAACTGGGGCCTTGCCTGTAATTACACAAGAATATCGTCCTAAGAAATATTAATGCCCAGTAAAAAGAATATCGACAACTTCTTGACACTGAACCTATTGGATCAACTTCCACGAAAACAAGGTTAAGACTGAAGACTCCAGTCATATTGTAATTTTAGCTATGGGACACAGCTGATACAGAGGAAAACTACCAGGCCTTTGCTAAATGAGATATATATCAGGCAACACATAACAATGACAGGGTCATGTCTCTTGCGATATGTTCCGCGGAATAATAGATTATATAAAGGAAAAGCAGTGTGCAACGTGCATTAGTAAAAACTAGAGGGTATCCACATTCTTTCATAACAATTTTTTTTCCATTTCAACACTCGAAGACCTTTGACAATATATATGTCCATGCTGCGAAAGACTGCCTGAGACGATCTGTTACTTACCCAGTCAACCAAGCCCTCGTGCATGTCGTTAGTTGTGTCCACCGGTTTGCGTCCCGTGATCAACTCCAAAAGCATCACTCCAAAGGAGAAGACATCTGATTTATCTGTGAGTTTTCCACTCGATGCATATTCTGGAGCAAGATAGCTGCAAGTTGCAAGAAATGTAAACCCTCTTCTTTTTTTCATCGCTAGGACTACAGTCCCGTGCAAAAAGCACTGGATAACGTCCCTGACACTATCTCAATATGATCCTATATCTGTGTAAATTCGTAATGGTCAAGAGACAACAGAAGAACCCAATTTTTAATACATCCACTGCCATTTATGAGGGCATGAGGTGGCATTGTCACATGAATTGCGCTAATCCAGATGAAACAGACAATCAAGAATATGATTTAGTGGGACGAAGTGGCAAGAAAAGGGTAACTTTCGAAAGCTGGAGGATTATCTGAGCAATAAAATGTCCAGCTACAATAATCTTACCCAAATGTTCCCATCACCCTTGTAGAAATGTGAGTGTGGACATCTGAAGAGAACTTCGCAAGTCCGAAATCAGCAACCTGTGAAGCAGTATTCGTATTCAACTTCTAGATATGATTTTTTAATTTTATACGGATAAATTGACCATCTTCTTAAGGGCCTTTGAGAATATAGGGTTTAGCACGATTCTCACCTTAGCCTCAAATTTGAAATCCAGCAAGATGTTAGCTGCCTTGATATCACGATGAATGATCCTAGGATGACCTGCAAAACAGAATCAACTCCCACATCATTAAGCAAATAATCGCCTTTTCTCTGTGCTAAAGTGATCGTTCACAAAGATGAGAATGCGGCTCACAGTCCTCATGAAGATAGGCAAGTCCCTTGGCAGATCCTAAAGCGATTCTCAGTCTTGTCGTCCAATCCATGGTTGGTCTATCTTTTCCTGCAGCAAGGCCATTTACTTCTATCAGATCCTCTTAGCAAGAGCATTGACTGGAATCAAAATGTCAATTTGCTTATACGCAAACACATTTATGCATTTTCGAAACAGCTTCACTTATATTACATTGCTTATGACAATTAGACATTCTACATTGACGTGACATCAGGGACTCATTATTCAATCTCTGGATATAACTCGCCGTGCAAAGCATAAAAAGAGTGCTAATTCAGGTAAGCAAAATAGTACACGGCATCATAACGATCAATCAGAATGTGAGATGCTACGATACGTACATACCATGCAAGTGGAACTGCAAGTTGTTGTTCGGGATAAACTCGTAAACAAGCAGTCTCTCAGACCCCGTTGTGCAGAATCCAACCAAGGAGACCAAGTGCTTGTGATGTACTCGGCTGATTATTTCCACCTCGGCCTTGAACTCGCGCTCTCCTTGGCCGCTCCCAGCTTTAAGCTGCTTCACCGCAACCTCCTTCCCATTTGGAAGGACCCCCTTGTACACATAACCGAAACCGCCCTGTCCGAGAAGGTTCGAGTCCGAGAAGCCATTTGTGGCCATCCTTAACTCCTCAAATGTGAATTCGCTCTTGGAGAAACTTAATCCAATGCCCCTCGATGGAGCAGGATATGGATTTTCGGGGCCCAAAGTGGAGCCTGAACCTCCACTGCTGCTCATGAATGGTGGTGGCACTGTGCTGTCGACGGGCGAATTTAGTGGACACGAGTCAAATGCAGGTGGAATAGTGGCCGGCGGTGCATTCTGTTGCCAATGTCGTGGCATACTGCCAGAAGGGTCATCTGATCAACACAGAAGTCATCATACAGAATCAACCAAGAAATGAAAACGGATTCTGAAGCTATCTGAGAATTGCGCCTAAACGCCATTCCAATTGGAAAACCTTGATTGAGAATAGGGCTGCAGAGAAGTTAGAGAAGACGACATTCCATTTATACAAGTTCAATGACAAGACAAATGGAAAAGAAATGGAAGAGATGAAACTATCAAATCTCTCATCCGTCAAGCATTTCATTCATGACTCCCTCTGCCTTTATACTTTCCGAAACCCAGAATAAACACCTAAGTTTTGTTGTCTTTATGGCCATCCCATCAAGTTGATCTCGGAGACATTCACAGAATTTACACGATTGCCGCCAACAATCAGTTGCAGAAAACAAATCCTACATGGTACTGCTGTACTACACACGGGATAAATTCACAGGAAGGAGATGACAGATAGAACTTGCCCAAGTTCATACCTTTAGGCCCTGGCGGGAAATGAACGGCACCGGGGTCTCTCCTCCTCTTCTTCCTACAGAATATGAACAACAAAGCCAACACTGCGAGCACTGCCACTCCGCCAATTGCAACCCCCACCACTAGACCAGTTGGCAAGGAGCTCGATGAGGCTGCGGGTGTACTGGGCGGGGGCGGCGACGGCGACCCACCTGCTTTGCTCGGAGGAGGAGGCGGCGGCTGGGAGCCGCTGGTCGCTGGAGCCGGAGGGGCCTCCGAAGGAGAAGTCGGCGGAGGCGGAGGAGTAGAGGGAGCAGGCGGCGCGCCCGGCGGCGGGGCCGGTGTCTTCGGCGGAGGAGGCGGAGAAGGGGTCGTCGCTGGCGGCGGCGGGGCCGGTGTCTTCGGCGGAGGAGGCGGAGAACGGGTCGTCGCTGGTGGCGGCGGGGAAGGGGTCGTCGTCGGCGGCGGCGGCGGGGGCGGGGAAGGCGGGGTGGCCGGCGGAGGAGCAGCGGCAGGAGGAAGGGGAGAAGGAGGGGGGGTTGACGGCGGAGGCGCGGCGGGAGGAGGGGCGGACGGCGGAGGCGTGCTGGGAGGAGGGGCGGACGGCGGAGGCGTGCTGGGGGGCGGGGCGGAGGGAGTAGGGGCGGTGGACCTGGCAGGCGGCGGAGGCGAGCCGGCCGGCGCTGGCGCTGACATTTTCTTGTTCCCGTGACGTTTCCGACGACTTCGACAACAACCCAGAAGGAATCAAAACCAGAAAGAGCAAATGATCACGGAGAATGAGAGAGAGAGAGGAGAGTGTATGAAAGCAAAGAAGGAAAGAAGGAAGGATCGGTTCTTCTTCAGCACAGGAGGAAGAGCTGGTGTCAGATGTCCTCCGTCATCATCAAAAGCGCAGAATTCTCTGCAACTCTCTCTCTCTCTCTCTCTCCTCCCTCTCCTCGGGAGGAGAGATCGTTGATCGTGCGAGTGCGTGCGCAAAGTGTCTGATTCGGACAGAGGGCGGATAATGTCGGATTGGCCATGTTAAATTCGGTCAGCCACCAATGGCAGCACTTTCCCGCGACTTGTCTACCTTTGACTACAGTTATTATAAAGAAAAAAAAGGAGGAAGCTTCTCTTTTTCTTTATTGTTCCTGTTTGATTTGTCAACTTGGACGCGGGGCTGAATTGGGAATAATTAGATAAGAACTATCGGATCGAATGAAACCCCACGCGATCGCTCCGACGGTTAATGTGAATTGGATTCGCGAAAATGGTGGCTAGAAATGAGGAGTATATTTTACCTGCCGAGTCTGCATATGAAGGGGCGCATTTACCGAGATCGATCCGACACCCTAAATCGTGATCGCAGTTTCTTGATGAGTCGTGTCGCGAGTGCTTGATTAGCCTAGCTGAGAGACCGCGTGCACAGTTCGCGGAAGAGAGTAATTTCTTGCATCGATGCAAAAACAGAAACTATGGCCCTATCATGTGATCGGTGCGTGAGTCGAGGCGAGTATTGTGAATAGAGAGTCATAAGAGCTTATGATCTCGTTGCAACTCAGTGGTTATGGTGAATTCACATTCAATCAATTATATTCTTGTCTCTCTTTGAAGTTCACCATTTCTCGGGTGCACATTCACAAAGATAAGTCATCGGGCTCATTGTTCGGCTGGTGGGCTCGATGTGCTTCCTGCAACTCCGAGAGCATCTCCGACACTTCAACATCGCATGGCACTTGACTATAACTTGCGAGGACCCATTTGGATACTCCCATGTATGCACATATGCGATAAATGGACATATACATCAGTCAGTCCAAGGATATGGTGAACAAGGTCTTCACTTGACCTGTAAATTGCAGAGTCTAACAATGGACGTCGCCTGAATCTGCTTATCAATGCCTCTCTCTCTCTCTCTTTCTCTCTCTCTCTCTCTCTTCAACGGAAAAAGCTTGTCAAACTCTCAGTTCACATACAAGTAAACCGAAACTGAGAACTTTGTATATAGAGGTTGGACAGAATTTACAAAACAATCAGTGCAGAGAACTGCTTAAAGAATTGGCCAAGCTTCGGCGTTACTTTTCTGTTTGGTCACCCAAAATGACAAATCGGAAGCACAAGGAGAAAAGAATCGTATTAGCCCATGGAGAAAAGCCATCTTTGCCGGCTCAGTCACACGCCTCTCGCTTGCGATCTAGCACGAGTTAGTGCCCCAAACGATGAAGTGCGCAAAGCTTGTTGCAAGTGTATAATATCGTCAAGAGCGTCCACTGAAACCTTGGGCGTTTGGCTTTCATCCTTCGCATCTCCATTTCTCTGGAGGAGTGGGCTTCGCAACTCGAGCCAGATCGGTGAGCGCTGTATTCACCTGTCGATGGACCATATTCACTACTTAAGTAGTCTTGGTGTAGGAACCAAAAAGGATATAGACAAACTTTGAAGATTTTGGTGAGGAGTACACAAATGCACAAACGAGAGAGAATAATATTCCAAATGCCTTTTTTCTAGGCTTTACACGGAGAAATACAAATTTAGCTCTGCAATGTTATAGCTAGCAGGTATCACCTAGAGGGGGGTGAATAAGTGATTTGAGTGATTTTTATGAATTTAAAGCAAAAACTATTTATAATCAGTAAAGTCTGAACAATGTTCAGATTCTGAATGTGATAGTGTGCAGTATAAACAATATAAAAGGAGATTAGGGATAAAGAGAACTTCACACAAGAAGTTATAGTGGTTCGGCTTAGATCAAGCCTACGTCCACTCTCCCACGCTGACAGCCTACTGGCTGGATTCCACTATGTGATCAAAAGAATTACAAGATCTGAGTGATATCACTCGGTGAATGATATAACTCTCTATCTCACACAATCACTTTTACAGTGTATCCCTCAAAACCTCAGTATTTAGCTCAGAAAAGACAAGTAATAGAATCGGAATAAGCTCAGACTTTGGACTTGTTGATTCCCTTCTGCTTCTCATTGGTCTCCTTTTATACTCCTTCACTTCCAAACTAGCCGTTGGACAGTCTTCAGAGGATCATCTTCCAATCTTCACCTTGGACAGATTTGTATAAAATGGATTGAGTAGCCGTTGGTTGACAAAATCTGAATTCCACTGAATCTGATCGCCCATACAACCAGAATCTTGGTTTTCATAAGTAGAGTTTTATCCGTTGTGATATATACTTGTCATAATGTTTGATTGTCAATCAATTAGGCTTAGATTGAATCAATCAAAATTTTCCTTTTGTGAAATCTACGCCAGATCACTAGCTATTATGTTTCGTTCTAAATAAATTATGAGTCTGAAGAATTTATGGTTCTTGCTTTACATTCAGAACCTAAGTCAGCGTAGGTCTTCAGTAAAGTCTAAGTTCTTCAAAATAAGTGTCTGAATGTCTCAGACATCTTAAGAAAAAGACTGAGTGTCTATTTCAGTAGAGTCTAAACTTCTCGTTCTGAACCTTGTAAAGTCTAAGCGTCCAGAAAGTTAAATTCTCTTGAAGTATTAAAGTTGCTACTTCAAGAGTATATATACCTGGATCAAAATACTTCAGACTACATATCAGATTTACAAGATTAACATGGATAGTTTTGTCAACTTCAAAATCTGTTTAGGAAATTTACTCAACGTACAAGCTTAGCTCTTACAATTCTTAACTCTCTCTTTCTATGGCTTTCACACACCAACACAAATGGGAAGGAGACAACCTATTTATACTACTCCTAAGGTGGTGAAGTTTTCTTGAAGACCAAGTTTGATCTACAATCTTGAGGACCAAGTTTGATCTACAACCATGAGGACCAAGTTTGATAAAGACAAAAAACAATTTTAATATTTCTAATAGCCTTCCTTAAAATTGATTTTGGAAATCAACAATACCAAGCATCGTCTTCATTTTCTCGAACAAATCTGCCTTCAATGGTTTCGTCAAAATATTTGCAATTTGATCCTCGGATTTATAGATATCAAGTTTAATCTCTCCATCTTTAACCAGCTCACGGATATAATGATACTTAATGTCTATGTGTTTGCTCCTGCCATGAAAAACAGGATTCTTGGCTAATGCAATCGCCGACTTGTTATCACACATCAATTTTGTAGGACCTTTCTGTTCATGCATCAATTCACAAAGCATCCTAGGAACCCATGTCCCTTGACACACTGCCGAAGCTATTGCCATGTATTCTGCTTCAGTTATTGAGAGCGCAATAACTTGTTGTTTTTTCGAGGACCATGAAATTAGTCCTGATCCGAGAAAGAACGCATATCCAGAAGTACTCTTCCGCGTTTCAGTATCTCCTGCCCAATCACTATCTGTATACCCCACTAAATTGAAATTGTCAGTGTAAGAATATAAAATTTTATGATCACAAGTTCCACTGACATACCGTGGAATTCTTTTTGCTGCCTGTAAATGTGATTGGTATGGTTTTTCCATAAACCGACTAATAATTCCCACACCATAAGTAATATCTGGCCTAGTAGAAGTCAAATATCTTAAACTGCCAACAATACTTTTAAAATAAGTGGGATTTATTAGTTCACTGGTTCCTTCTTTCTTCAGCTCCAACCGTTCTGCTATGAGGGTCCGAATTGATTTGAGCGATTCCATATTGAGTCGCTTCAAAATATCATTAGCATATTTTTGCTGTGAAACAAATATGCCATCATTTGTCTGCTTCACTTCAAGGCCTAGAAAATATGACATCAATCCCAAATTTGTCATCTCAAACTGGCTCGTGATGGCTTCCCTGAATTCAGCAAACATCTTTTCACAGTTTCATGTAAATATCAAGTCATCAACATAAAGGCATATAATTATAATATCACCATTAGTATTTGACTTGATATATAGTGTATGCTCATATGGGCACTTTTGAAAACCATGCTCCAACAGGTATGTGTCGATCCTTGTTTACCAAGCTCGAGGTGCCTGTTTTAGCCCATATAATGCTTTCTTCAATTTGTAAACTTGATTTTCATGCCCTTTCTTCTCATAGCCTTATGGTTGCTCCACATACACTTCCTCATCAAGGAACCCATTTAGAAATGCTGATTTCACATCCATTTGATGGATCTTCCAATGGTTATAAGCTGCGAGTGGGAAGACCATCCGAATGGTATCCATTCGAGCTACTGGTACAAATACTTCAAAATAATCAATCCTTGGCTTTTGCTTATAGCCTTTCACGACCAGTCTGGCTTTGTAACGGTCCACCTGACCGTCGGGTTTGTACTTTATCTTGTACACCCACTTGACACCAATGGGCTTTTTACCAGATGGTAAAGAAGTTAGCATCCATGTATCATTCTTTTCAATGGAGTGGATCTCTTCATCCATTGCTTGGATCCATTTTTCATCTACAGCAGCTTCATAATAGGATATAGGGTCACATTCAGCAAATAAACAAAAGTTTATAATAGTTTCATTAGTGATTTCATCACTATCATAGTCATCGTCCCCTGTGATTATATAATCCTTGAATTTTGCTGGAGTCTCTCGCAATCGCTGTGAACGACGTAAAGGTGGTTCTGAAGCTGCTGTTGGGGAAGAAAATGCACCACCAGTCGAAGATGATGAAGAAGATGCACCACTGGTCGAAGATGATGGAGGTTTTTCTATATCTCCCTCCAATGGTTCATCTTCGATGGTAATGTTTTTTTGGTCACCTTTTTGGTTCCAGTCCCAGGCTTCATCTTCTAAAAACTGGACATCCCTGCTAATGATTACCTTTTTAATGACTGGGTTATATAGCTTATAACCTTTAGTTGTGTCACTATAGCCAATAAAGATACACTTCTCGCTTTTGTCATCCAACTTCTTCCTCCGTTCGTCTGGTAAATGGGGATATGCCAAACACCCAAATACTCGTAGGAACGAAACATCTGGCTTGTTGCTGCTCCAAGCCTCTTCTGGGATTCTTCCAAGAACACTCATTGTTGGACACATGTTTAGCACAAATACAGCACAAGCAATGGCTTCTGCCCAAAACTTCTTTGGTAAATCTTTAGCCTTTAGCATATTCCTTGCCATTTCAAAAATCGTTCTATTCTTTCTTTCTACTATACCATTTTGCTGAGGAGTATAGCTAACAGTTAACTGACATTTCACTCCATGAATTTTACAATATTTGTCAAATTCATTTAAGGTAAATTCTCCACCTCTATCTGATCTCAACATCTTCAAATTAAAGCCCTTATGTTTTTCAACATAGACTTTAAATTCTTTAAACTTGCCAAAAGCTTCGGATTTTTCTCTCAATAAATATATCCAAGTTTTTCTGGTAAAATCATCCACAAAAATTAACATGTACCTTTTTTGTTCGAATGATTCAACCTCAAGATGGCCACATATGTCAGTATGTATCAACTCCAATGGTTGTTTTGCTCTTCTGGCTTTTCCAACTGGAAAAGTTTCTCGATGTTGTTTTCCAACAAGACATCCTTCGCATGGACGATCTAGACAGTCAATCAAAGGCATGCCGGTCACCATCTTTTTCTAGACAAGTAATTTTAGTCCACGAAAATTTAGATGTCCGAATCGAAGATGCCACAACTAGTTGCTGTCTTTCATCATCGCTTGAAGACTCAAGAGATTCATCATTTGAAGAGTCAGGGGAAACGTCCGGTTCTTTGTCATTTGCACCTTCATGATCAACTTGTCATTGACACTTCTGATGGTGCAAACTCCATTTTCAATATGAACCTTGTAGCCTTTTTCGGAAAGTTGCCCAACACTTAGCAAATTCCAAAAAAGTCCTGGCACAAAGTAAACATCCGCAATAGTAACATTAGTACCATCTTTTGACTTGATATTTATGTTACCTTTGCCAATCACGGGAACTTTTGATTTATCCCCAAAGTTAATTTCACCTCGGCTTGTCTCGTCCAGCTACGAGAATAACTCCTTCCGGCTAGTCATATGATTGCTGCAACCAGTATCCAGGTACCATATGTTGGTGTCTTCGATACTCAAGTCATCCTTCTTATATGCTAGTAGCATGTGTTCTTTAGCACCGATGACATGTGCATGTTCTACCTGTCCGTACGTCGCCTTTGCCCGGCATTCGGATTTGTAATGTCCGAATTTATTGCATTTAAAATACTTTGACTTTTGATTTTGTCATGTGGTTTAAATTTTCTGGTGAAATTTGAATTTCCACCTCTACCTCGGCCTCCTCCGCGACCTCAACAGCCTTGATAGCCTCCTCAACTTGATGGAACGAACCGACTTTGCAATGCTTGCTCGGGATTTGAACCGATGGACTTTTGATTCATTCTTTGCTCATGCGAGCACAATGAAGCCATCAACCGCTCCAACATCATGGTTGATATATCTTGGCTTTCTTCGATCGCCGCAACAACGTAGTCAAATCTCTCAGTCAAAAACCTTAAGATTTTTTCTACAATTCGAACATCTTGGAGTTCTTCACCATTAACCTTCAATTGGTTAACGATGGTTTGCAATGATCAAAGTATGACGAGATAGATTCAGAGTCATTTATGCGTAAAGACTCGAAATTTCCTCGAAGTGTTTGGAGCCTTACCCGCCTGACACGATCATCGCCTTTGTAGGATTTTTACAATATCCTACGCTTCTTTCACGATCTCTGCACTCGATATTTTTTCAAATATCGTTTCACCCACGGCTTGAAAGATCGCATATAATGCTTTCTGATCTTTCTTCCGAAACTCCACCAAAGAGTCTTTCTCCTCCTTTCTTAAAGCCTCGAATTCTTTAGCATCGGCTACTTCGGTGTAACCATTTTCCACTAGATTCCACAAATCCTGCTATTTGAAAAGAACCTTCATCTGGATAGACCAGTTGTTGAAATTTTTTCCATTCAACTTTGGAAGTTATAATTGAACGGAACTGGTGGACGCCATTGTTAGTTCCGATACTAATTGTAGGAACCAAAAAGGATATAGACAAACTTTGAAGATTTTGGTGAAGAGCACACAAATACACAAACGAGAGAAAATAATATTCCAAACGCCTTTTTTCTAGGCTTTACACAGAGAAATACAAACTTAGCTCTCACAATTCTCAACTCTCTCCTTCTTTGGTTTTTCACACACCAACACAAAGAAGGAGGAGACAACCTATTTATACTACTCCTAAGGTGGTGAAGTTTTCTTGAAGACCAAGTTTGACTTGTTAAACTTGAAGACCAAGTTTGATAAAGACAAAGAACAATTTTAATATTTCTAACACTTGGTTCCCGAATGCCATTTTTCTGAACTTTCCCAAGTCTTCTCAGCTTGCTTGCGAACTGTAGACCGTGCTGTGTCCGGGCCTGACCCCCTCATCAAGATCTGATAAGGACATCTCGCCTTCTAAAGCACGAACAATCTGAAGAGTTTACAGCAATAAATTAACCTCATACCCAATTCCTAAACTTGGAAAGTGTCAAATTAACCTCTTTCTAGATCCAAAAGCCAACTAAAATTGACTAAACCCAATTCTTGCTGGACTAACCTTATTGATTAACTAAGTTGGCAAGGTAAAAGCAAAGAGCTTAGGTTATTTGAACATTACCTGGCTCATTCTTGGTCGACGGCGTGCTGAATGACGTACGCAAGCAGCAGCGCAAGAAACCATACGAGCCATCTCATCATGATTGTAGTTATTTTGCAGTCTTGGATCTACCAAAGAGTCGAAGTTTACATCAGCCAGAGGTCTCGTCAACTGGGGCCTTGCCTGTAATTACACAAGAATATCGTCCTAAAATATATTAATTCGACGACTGCTTGACACTGAACCTATTGGATCAACTTCCATGAAAACAAGGTTTAAGACTGAAGACTCCGGTCATGTTGTAATTTTAGCTATGGGACGCAACTGATACGGAGGAAAACCACCAGGCCTTTGCTAAATGAGATATATATCAGGCAACACATAACAATGACAGGGTCACGTCTCTTGCGATATGTTCCGCAAAATAATAGATTATATAAAGGAAAAGCAGTGTGCAATGTGCGTTAGTAAAAACTAGAGGGTATCCACATTCTTTCATAACATTTTTTTTTCCCATTTCAACACTCGAAGACCTTCTACAATATACATGTCCATGCTGCGAAAGACTGCCTGAGACGATCTGTTACTTACCCAGTCAACCAAGCTCTCGTGTATGCTGGTAGTTGTGTCCACCGGTTTGCGTCCCGTGATCAACTCCAAAAGCATCACTCCAAAGGAGAAGACATCTGATTTATCTGTGAGTTGTCCACTAGATGCATACTCTGGAGCAAGATAGCTGCAAGTTGCAAGAAATGTAAACCCTCTTCTTTTTTTCATCACTAGGACTACAGTCCCGTGCAAAAAACACTGGATAATGTCCCCGACACTATCTAACTATGATCCTATATCTGTGCAAATTCGTAATGGTCAAGAGACAACAGAAGAACCCAATTTTTAATACATCCCTGCCATTTGTGAGGGCATGAGGTGGCATTGTCACATGAATTGCGCTAATCCAGATTAAACAGACAATCAAGAATATGATTTAGTGAGACGAAGTGGCAAGAAAAGGTTAACTTTGGAAAGCTGGAGGATTATCTAAGCAATAAAATGTCCAGCTACAAAATCTTACCCAAATGTTCCCATCACTCTTGTAGAAATGTGAGTGTGGAGATCTGAAGAGAACTTCGCAAGTCCGAAATCAGCAACCTGTGAAGCAGTATTCGTATTCAACTTCGAGATATGATTTTTCAATTGGGAAAACACCACCAAAAATCCCAAACTATGTCATTTGTGATAAATTTACCCTAAACCTTTTTTTTTGTGACACGAAAAACCTCAAACTATGCCCTCTGTGATAAATTTACCCTGAACTTTTTTGTGATAGGAAAAACCACAAACTATGACACTTGTGACACATTTATCCCACAATACTTTGGCCCATAAGCATTTTCGTCTTTTTCATTTTTCTGTTTTTTTTTCCTTTTTTTTCTTTTTTTCTCTCTCTTCCCTCCGCTGGCCATGGCGAAGAGAAGTCGGCGAGGGCAACCCTCACCGGCATCGGGTGAGGCTGCCCTCGCCCGCCCAGGCGAGGGCAACTCTCGCTCGACTCTGGCCCAAGGGTCGCCCTTGCCTGGCCCGATGCCGGATCTGGCGAGGGCGACCCTTGCCAGTGTCAGGCGAGGCTGCCCTCACCGGATCAGGCGAAGGCAGCCCTTGCCGACTTCTCTTCGCCATGGCTGGTGGAGGGAAGAGAGAAAAAAAAAAAAGAAAAAAAGAAGGAAAAAAAATAGAAAAAGGAAAAAGACGAAAATACCCATGGGTCAAAGTATTGTGAGGTAAATGTGTCACAAGTGGCATAATTTGGGGTTTTTCGTGTCTCAAAAAAAAGTTCAAGATAAATTTGTCACAAGTGGCATAGTTTGGAGTTTTTCGTGTCACAAAAAAAAAGTTCAAGGTAAATTTGTCACAAGTGTCATGGTTTGGAATTTTTTATGGTATTTTCCCTTTTTAATTTTATACAGATAAATTGACCATCTTCTTAAGGGCCGTTGAGAATATAGGGTTTAGCACGATTCTCACCTTAGCCTCAAAGTTGAAATCCAGCAAGATGTTAGCTGCCTTGATATCACGATGAATGATCCTAGGATGACCTGCAAAACAGAATCAACTCCCACATCATTAAGCAAATAATCGCCTTTTCTCTGTGCTAAAGTGATCGTTCACAAAGATGAGAAAGCGGCTCACAGTCCTCATGAAGATAGGCAAGTCCCTTGGCAGATCCTAAAGCGATTCTCAGTCTTGTCGTCCAATCGATGGTTGGTCTATCTTTTCCTGCGGCAAGGCCATTTACTTCTATCAGATCCTCTTAGCAAGAGCGTTGACTGGAATCAAAATGTCAATTTGCCAAAACGCAAACACATTTATGCATTTTCGAAACAGCTTCGCTTATATTACATTGCTTATGACAATTAGACATTCTACATCGACGTGACCGCAGGGACTCGTTATTCAATCTCTTGATACAACTCGCCGTGCAAAGCATAAAAAGAGTGCTAATTCTGGTAAAGCAAAATAGTATACGGCATCATAACGATCAATCAGAATGTGAGATGCTACGACACGCACATACCATGCAAGTGGAACTGCAAGGTGTTGTTCGGGATAAACTCGTAAACGAGCAGTCTCTCAGACCCCGTTGTGCAGAATCCAACCAAGAAGACCAAGTGCTTGTGATGTACTCGGCTGATTATTTCCACCTCGGCCTGGAATTCGCGCTCTCCTTGGCCTCTCCCGGGCTTAAGCTGCTTCACCGCGACCTCCTTCCCATTTGGAAGGACCCCCTTGTACACATAACCGAAACCGCCCTGTCCGAGAAGGTTCGAGTCCGAGAAGCCATTTGTGGCCATCCTTAACTCCTCGAACGTGAATTCGGTCTTGGAGAAATTTAATCCAATGCCCGGCGATGGAGGAGGATATGGATTTTCGGGGCCTGCAGTGGATGGTGGTGACACTGTGCTGCCGACGGGCGAATTTGGTGGACGTGAGTCAAATGCAGGTGGAATAGTGGGTGGCGGTGCATTCTGTTGCCAATGTCGTGGCATACTGCCAGAGGGGTTATCTGATGAACACAGAAGTCGTCATACAGAATCAATGAAGAAATGAAAACGGATTCTGAAGCTATCTGAGAATTGCGCCGAAACGCCATTCCAATTGGAAAACCTTGATTGAGAATAGGGCTGCAGAGAAGTTAGAGAAGACGACATTCCATTTATACAAGTTCAATGACAAGACAAATGGAAAAGAAATGGAAGAGATGAAACTATCAAATCTCTCATCCGTCAAGCATTTCATTCATGACTCCCTCTGCCTTTATACTTTCGGAAACCCAGAATCAACACCAAAGTTTTGCTGTCTTTATGGCCATCCCATCAAGTTGATCTCGGAGACATTCACAGAATTTACACGATTGCCGCCAACATTCAGTTGCAGAAAACAAATCCTACATGGTACTGCTGTACTACACACGGGATAAATTCACAGGAAGGAGATGAAAGATAGAACTTGCCCAAGTTCATACCTTTAGGCCCGGCACCGGGGTCTCTCCTCCTCTTCTTCCTCCAGAATATGAACAGCACAGCCAACACTGCGAGCACTGACGCTACGCCAATTGCAACCCCCACCACCAGACCAGTTGGGAAGGTACTGGGCGGGGGCGGCGCCGGCGTTGCCGGCGTTGACAGCGCTGGCACCGTCAAATTCGCCGTCGGCACCGGCGTCGCCGGCGTTGACGGCGCTGGCGCGGTCAAAAATGCCGTCGGCGCCGGCGTTGACGGCGCTGGCGCGGTCAAAAATGCCGTCGGCGCCGGCGTTGACGGCGCTGGCGCCGTCAAATATGCCGTCGGCGCCGGCGTTGACGGCGCTGGCGCCGTCAAATATGCCGTCGGCGCCGGCGGGGAAGGGGTCGTCGGCGGCGGCAGCGGCGGGGAAGGAGACAGTGCAGGCGGGGGCGTGGCGAGCAGCACGGAAGGCGGGGTGGCCGGCGGAGGAGCAGCGGGAGGAGAAGGAGGAGGGGCGGACGGCGGAGGCGTGCTGGGGGGCGGGGCGGAGGGAGTAGGGTCAGTGGAGCTGGCAGGTGGCGGAGGCGGAGGCGAGCCGGCCGGCGCTGGCGCTGACATTTTCTTGTTCCCGTGACGTTTCCGACGACTTCGACAACAACCCAGAAGGAATCAAAACCAGAAAGAGCGAATGATCACGGAGAAAGAGAGAGAAGAGTGTGTGAAAGCAAAGAAGGAAAGAAGGACGGATCGGTTCTTCTTCAGCACAGGAGGAAGAGCTGGTGTCAGATGTCCTCCGTCATCATCAAAAGCGCAGAATTCTCTGCAACTCTCTCTCTCTCCCTCTCCTCGGGAGAGGTCGTTGATCGTGCGAGTGCGTCCGCAAGTGTCTGATTCGGACAGAGGGCGGATGATGTCGGATGGGCCACGTTAGATTCGGTCAGCCACCAACGGCAGCACGCACCCGCGGCTTGTCTACCTTTGCTTTGACTACAGTTATTAAAAAGAAAAAAAGGAGGAAGCTTCTCGTTTCTTTATTGTTCTTGTTTGACTTATAATCTTGGACGCGGGGCTGATTTGGGAATAATTAGATAGAACTATCCGATCGAATGAAACCCCACGCGATTGCTCCGACGGTTAATGTGAATTGGATTTGCGAAAATTGTCACTCAAGGGCTTAAAAACGAGGCGCATACTTTACCTGCCGAGGCCGCATATGAAGGAGCGCACGTGCTAAGATCAGTCCGACATCCTCAATCATTGTTGCCATTTCCTAATGAGTCGTGTCGCGAGTGCTTCATTAGCCTAGCTGAGAGACCGCGTTCACATTTCGCAGAAGAGAGTAATTTCTTGCATCGATGCAAAAATAGAAACTATGGATCTTCTTCTTCTTAGAAACGCCATCAATCTTGGTAAAGTGGGAAGGTTGAAGGATGATATCTCTGGTAATGATATTTTATTAGCAAATTGCTAGTACCAACAAAGTAAACTACCTAAATACCACTCGTCGCAAGGTGTGCGTCTCATTCATGTCGTTTTCCCAATAAACAACAAGGTTTTATTGACTTGAAAAGCCATTATATTCATCCTAACCTAAAAGGAACTTCTTGCAAATCCATTTGAAGGCTACTTCAAGCATTCTTTGGTAAACTATGGATTTTATTAATGAGTACTCTCGAGACACTTGTTAAACATATTTATTAAATGTTTCGACTTTTGATGTTTTTATTACACAATAACACAAAAAAAAAAAACATTGCATTGTAGATGTGTATATTTGTCCTTTCAAATTTGTGAAGAATAAGTATATTATTCCTCCATATAATTTCGTGAATTTACTCACGGCTACCATTATTAGAGATTTGTTATAGGTTTATTCCACGTAAGCATTGCTCAATGCAAGAGTGACTTAGGATGAGTGACAGGATTATCAATCATTAATATATGTATGGGATGTCTTAGAGAGTTTTACCTTAATGGGCTCTAGTGAGGCTTGTCAAGGATGGTGCCGCCTATTCCATAACCCTTTCTAGTGGATATGGTGTATGCTAGTGTCCTCCTAACACGCGACGGTCCATTAGTGACCCATCTCCTTAATAGCCGGCAATTTATCTACCGTCGATTTCCTATCCTTTTCATCATCTCAGTTTAAATAACCCCCCATCAATTTCCTCACCTACCACCTAGCACCCTGTCCCACTAAAATTGCGTGTTCCTCTTCCCACGGCCTCTCTATTTTATCGCAATTACGGTGTTACTTCCGCGCGACGCTGACCTTCCGGTAGGCTAAGGGACCTCGGGAGCAAACCTCCTCACCACCTTGGACATTATAGACTTTCCTTGAATGGGTTATGAACAAGTGCCTCGATACTCATTAACAAAATCCATAATAATATGCAGAGCCAAAGCGACATATAGTCAATTAATTCCGGAAACCACGGAAATTTGCTCCCACTTCGACTTGAGTGATTTAACACCACTCATAAAAATTCAGATATTTTGAAGTAATAACGCAATCTTGTCATTGCGTAAAAGGATTGTTGACTTCCATGCTTTCCACATTCCCCTCCCCTCCCCTCCCCCCCTCCCCACAATACGTTTGCCGAGCAGAGAAGACTCGTTTTGACTTGGAAAATTACACGATAAAGTCATGAGGTCCCCACAAGAGAACATCATCTACGTCGTACTTGACCCGTTATATGTCACGATAATGAATGCATGGAATTTTCGACGTTCGTGCCTGACTTGTCTTTTCTTATGGTAAGAGGAAACTACCAAAAAAAACAAAAAATCATAAATCTATGACTATACCATTCAATTCTAAATATATTAATTTGATCAGTTTAGTTCTAAATATTTTGATAATTTATCAATTTAGTCATAAACCTTTCGATAGTATCAATTTAATCTTAAATTTTTTGATGATTTGTCAATTTAATCCTTTCAGCAAACTTTGGTAGAAAATCGCTGAACAATTTTGGCCATTTTTTATTTTCTGAACTTTTTCTTCTTTCTCTTTCTTTTTTTTTCCTTTTCTTTTCTTTTCTTTTCTTTTTCTTTTTTTCCCTCCGTCGGCGAGGTCCCCCTCCTTTGGTATGGCGAGGGCGTCAAGGCCCTTGTTGGTAGAGAGAAAAACAAAAAAAAGGAAAAAAGAAAAGGAGAAGATAAAATTCAGAAAATTTATAAAAAAAAGTTGCAAAAATTATCTATATCAGTGCTAATCATGCAATGTAATACAGCTGACACTACCAAAACCATCACACCAGTGATTTTCAGCCAAAATTAACCTAAAAAACTAAATTGATAATTCGTCAAAATGTTTATGACTAAATTGACTCAATTGAAAGCTTTAGGATTAAATTGATAAATTTAGAACTCAATTGCTCAAATTGAGACCGAATTAACACAAATACGATAAATTCATGACTTTTTTGGCAACTTCACCTTTCTGGCCATATGTTTCCATGCCATCTCCCATCTCGTGCTTTTGAGCCTTTTCATTAATACAGAATCCAACAAGCCAGAAGCTAGTAGCATACCTTTCTTTATAATGAAAAGGACAACCAAGTGCTATTGGCACTTCCTAAGCTATAATTAGTGTGCTTTAGAAATTATAGTTCTAATTGGATTCTAAGGAATTCATTATCCAACCAAATCAACACTGCTGAACGTGACTACCGTGAAAAAATGAGCTTAAACGAAAGTCTTTCATTAAAAAGACTAGAGGAATAATGAGGAAAAGTAAATGATGACACTAAAATTAGATTTCTACAATTCAATGGCTAGCTACAGAGCAATATCTTAGGGCCCGTCGAACCGGTCGAGGGACCTCAGAACGTGGGTCGTCAAACACCTGGGCCCTCGATCCAAGAAAACCAACAAGTTCAACAATTCATAAGCAAGCAGCCAGATATCATTGGAAGAGCATATGAATGCTGGATTGAAAACCATAGAACCAGCTGTTTGCATAATCCATATGCTACTCTTTCGGACCGAGGCACTAAATCACTTCGGCTTTCGTGTCTGCTTTCTTGCTGCAATGCTTCATTAGTGCTCATCATGTGCCTGGAAATGAGCTGCCCGTGGTGGAAAGAATGATGAAGGCGCAAACAACGGAGAGCGAAAAAACCGAGACCCAAGTGTTCTCAGTGTACATCTCCATTGCGTCAGTGAAAGAAAATCTAGTGCGATTTTCAGCCCAGTTGCGAAGTCGGTCGGCCTCTGCAGCGTACAATGCCCTCCCCTGCAGCAGTAATAAGCTTGCGTTCAATTTCTCTAGGTCGACAGTGAACAAGTTAGATGTTCTGAGACTATTCTATCAGCAGACTTCTCCAACAATTATGATAGAGTTAACTGCGCAAGTAGGGTTAATACACTGAATAATGCTTGGATGATTTTCATTACGAGATCCATCAAGACCGATATTGTCTAGCAGCCACTCTACTTGACAAATGTCCCCCAAACTTAATATCTGCAAAGTGGTTGACGGTGCATTCGCAATGATTCTATTCTTTAGGGTGATAGGAACATAACTTAGGCAAGCGAATTGATGACGCTCAAACTCTGTTATTGGTTTCGTCACAGATAATTCGAAATAAAAATTGCAGTAACAACGTGATTTATATTTGTCACTATGTGCTGCATCATTCAAACCAATGCTTTCACTGAATAGATTACCTGATCATCAAACCAGCGACCTCGTCGCAACCATGCAGTGATTAAAGCCAGTAAGATTCTAGGAGGGGTTAAATAACTGATCGCCTTGCCCGTCCCTTTTACAACCCGCATCCGAGGAACTAGACTTCTAGCAACCGTTTCAGGAAGTTCACAAATAATGTTGAACATTTGCTTGTTCTTTATTGTTGAGCCACTACAAATTACATACACATTGAAAAGGTTAGACCATCACTTAATACTGAAAACCATGTCCAAGGAAACTAAATTAGAAATAATGCATCCGATGCTTCATTCTCTACTATTAATGAAAAAACTCTGACAAAAAATTGTTTAGAATGATCAGATAAACCACATCCATTGGAGAGCCCAAGAAATGTATATAAGACTGCAAATGCATGGTATAGAAGACAAGATTGGATTCATGACTACCTCAGAAGTAAATCTGTAAGAACCATGCCAGGAGATGCGTTATGAACTCCCACCTTGGACCGCTTGCACTCCTTAAGGAGTGACGACTGAAGTTGCCGCAGACCACACTTTGTTGACCCATAGCTACAGATAAACAGATGAACTGTTACAATCAGTTCCTGAGAACCCCAGCTATAACATCTCTAGATAAGTCCAGAACAAAGAGTTAAGTTGGTCAGAGTGTGCATAAGGGGTTAGATGAAGAATAAAACTTACACAGCTGTCAAAGGAGTACTTGATCCGCCAGATCCTGCCCCATCCATGTTAAATACATGGCCCCCCTTAGCCTGGTTTTTCATCACGTGCATGGCTTCTCGAGTACAAAGTATTGAGCCGACTAGGTTTGTTGATATGATCTATTACATGTCCACAATGAGAGAGTTTGCATCAAGCTGAATTCGTACAACAACATGAGCAAGTAAAGGGTTTTTCTTTGCTTTTCGCTCTTCTTGACTTTATTTAAAATGCATGAGATTTTCTCGCCATCGTCACAGTTGAGTAAGGCCAGTTATGAGGGCTAAACCAAAACCATTTAAGAAAACTGACACCCAACAAATGTCCAAAAACGATAAAATGTCTGAGTCGTACATAGATTCTTAAGAGCCACCACTCAACAAATGAAAGTTGAACAGAGCTACCTGTTGAATATCTTCATCAGAGAATTGCAGCAACGGTCTAAATCCTTTGTTTATGCCAGCGTTGTTTATCTGAAAAGTTGAAAAGCGTAATGTTGAAACATCTAGTGCACCATATGGAATTTTGTTGAATACATACTTAGAAAGGACAGTGATTATTGTACAAACATAAGTAATTTTTATGTGGCAGATTTTAAGTCCTTAACATGTTCAGCAGACAACAACAGAGACTAGAAAAGTACCACCAGGAAAAATACGGATATCTTGATTATCAAGAAGTAACCAAGCTGAAGGAAGGGAGTAATAATAAGCCAAGAGATTTCCAAGAAGATTAGCTTCACTGGTAAAGAGAAAAAATGAAATCATCTGTTGCACTTTCCTACTGTGTCATTCCTGAATGAGCTTAGTCATTAAGAAGAGAAGCCCGCAAAAAGTCACCACTTGGATAGGAAATAAGCATCACAAACTAGGAGCACTCACCCAAATGTCTACAGAACCAAGCTCACTAACAGCAAAAGTTGCCAAATTCCGCACATTTTCGGGGTTACAAACATCACATGGTATTCCCACCACTTTTGCATGTGCCAAACTTGTCATAGATGAGCCACTCGCAGCCTGTTTCACTTCCATTAAGTTCTGTTCAAGCTCTTTGACGGTCATGTCCACAGACTCAGGGCTGCCGTCAAAAGAACCAAGCTGTGATGAGGACCCGAGTGATATTTGAAAGCATAGAATTGAAACCGGGTGATGAATATTATTGTTTCAAAAGGATCACCTTCTAGAAGCAATGATGACACGGTCACCAGAAAGAAGAAATTCACGAGCAAGTGCCTTTCCCAACCCTCTCGTACTGCATCAGCCAGGGACGATGTTTTAGAAGGATGTTTAAAAACAACACATATTATTGTCTCAGAGATGTCACGTCCAGCTACATACAGATCTTTCTTCTGAAAACAGCAGTAACTGGCCTAAAGACCAACGAACCAGAGGTCACTGATTCATAGAGCTCTTATTAAAGAACACTCAACGGTTTTGCTACAGGGACTGAGAATAAACACAGAGTGAAAACGCCTACATTGCAAAGAGAGAACTACCTTCCAGTGATGACCACATTACGCGGACCAGCTCGACAATGTTCATCTAACACCATGTTAGCACCAATCATTGTTCCAATTATAACCCCTCCAAGCCAGCTATACCAGATCAACGTATCCAATTGACTATCTCCACCTTTAAAAGATAGGGACACAATTAAATAATTGCATTGCTATACACGGAGCATCAACTTGAATGATAACCCTACATAAGACATCCAACATATGTGATGGTCTATGCATTCAAGAAGATGGCAAAAACTGAATTTGGCTAACCTGACATCTGAAAACCAACCACGAGAATCACTCCAGTGCTCATCATGGTTATGATGTATCTTCCAATTTGAAGAGCAGCCTGAGTGAGAGAGAGAGAGAGAGAGAGAGAGAGGATTATCAAATGGAATTAGAAAAAAATCTCGATGAATTGAAATCATGCACCTAACTGAGATACAACCGAGAAAAGTAGACTAATATGAACAATCATAGCAAGAAATGATTTTTTTCCTTTACTAGCCAAAACAAAACGACCTGTAAATCTCTCTCTCCCTTCCTCTCCCCCACCAACCCAATTGTTCTGAGCTAGCTGAACTAATCAACCTCAAATTGTACTTGTATTGAGCTCCTTGCCATGGATTTCCTGCCTCTCAATCATCTTAAGAGAATAAAGGTAGCGAAAAAACTCCAAAGTAGTGGGTCCTCTCATACTTCTTCCGTAACTCCAAATCACAAATTAAGTAATATATTTCGAGGAAAGACAATCAATAACCAAATCACCTCATCTAAAAGCATAAAAAGAGCACTCAAATTTACACGACGAACACACAATTTACCTTCAAAATCCTACTTCATCCCGACAGAGCAATTAACAACAGGCAATTTAAACAACACCAGCATACAAACAAACAGTTCACGGCACACTCACAGAGGACATAATCTCCTCAAGCTTAGCCACTGATCTGCTGTAATCATCCCTCCATTTCGAACCCAACTGAGAACAACCCACAAAAGCAGTCCTCATCGAATTCAAAACCCCACTTCTCTCGCTCTCCACCTCCACCTCATCTTCCTTCGGTTTCTCACCATCTCCCTCTCTGTCCCCATCTTCTTCGCGCCTGAACGACCTGCACTGATGCCGCACGCACAACCTGCTTCGCCTCCCGAGCAATTTCGAACCCGAATGGAAAAAACCCGGCAAGAACACTCGTGGGTTCTCTCTAAAACTGACGAATTGATGGTCAAACCTTCCCGGGCACAGGTGGACCTTGGTCACTGTGGCCATCGAGGCAGCTCATGCAAGGTGTAGTTCCCACTCTTTCGGGGAGGAACTGATATTTTCTGTCTCTCGTTTCCTCCCTACTGCCTACAAATTACGTGAGGTTTCGGAATATTTAATGATTCGGCAGAGTAATCAAAAATATCTGCGAGAAGGGAAGAAGATACGAGGTGGATCCAGAGACGCAGAGAGGAATGTGATGACCACACGCTGAAGCAAACCCAATCCTATACGTAAGTCCGTGACACGTGGCGAAGTGGGTCTGGTTTCTTGGAGTCGCTTGTACGCCTGATAAAGCGGAAGAGAGGAGGGCAGCCGCATCTGTCTAAGCAAATTTGATCTGGTGTTAGAGCGATCCTCAAAGTAACTGCTAGTTGTATACGGAAATAAAACAGAAATAACTACCGGTTGGGCTCCGCGACACGCGGGCGATGGTTCGCTTGGTAAAAGAATAAAGACACAACTGATCCTTAAATTTTGGATCAATATGTAATATGATCTCTAAGCTTTCAATTTGCTTAATGTGATCCATGAACTTTAGTCTAATATAGTTTAAGGACTAGTTTGAACATGTACCAAAAGTTGAAGAATCACATTGAATAAATTAAAAGTTGAGGAACCACGTTGCACATTGATCACATTAAATAACATTTTCATATGATTTAAGAAATAGATAGATCACATTGAACAAATTGAAAGTTCATGGATCACGTTACACATTAGACTAAAGTTCAAAGGCCACATTAAACAAATTGAAAGTTTAGGAACATTGCATATTGAGTTAAAGTTCGAAAATCATTCGTGTCGTTTTCCCCTTGATAAAGTGAATCAAATAAATTTCCAGCAGAAGAAATCAAAAAAAATTAGGCAGAACCGGTGGAAATTAGGTGGAATGCATGTGACTTTAGCATAGGGTTGGCAATATTGGAGATTTTGCTTTTGCTTCTTTTCCCACCATGATATTTTTTTATGTCAGATCCCACCATGATTTGATCGCTAGAGTTTGTCAGTATAACTGTAATTTATGTTACAATGTCATCCCCGCCGTGCTATGAAACTTATGTAACTTATGTTTGACGATACATATTTTAAGGTTTCAACGTATTGAGAGTAGATGAAGTTGTTTCGAGTTAAAGGTGTAGCCATTTGAAGGTGTTTAACTTATAATAGGTTTTCTCCTTAACTTGTAAATCACTTACGGAAGTCGAATTTGTCTCGTTTTACAATCATAGATATCATAAGAAAGTTGCAATGAACATTAATAGATGATTAATATTGGAGTGCGTTTTTGTCTCAGCATCTTAGGAGGAGTTTTTAATGCGACGGTATTCGATATAACAAGTCAATCAAAAGTGAGATGTAGAACACACATGATGCCAAAGAGGATGAGATTCGTAGTACATAAAAAGTGACGATTGATCTGTCACGTGGGGGCGTGGCTGTCCTTGGACTTAAGATCATTGTTGGCAACCCTTGTATATCTCAAAATTATAAGTCACAAGTCAAATATATAATGCATGGCAGAGATATGTACAGTACATATCGACGTATAGTACATATCACCTGTGCTACTCTCCTTATTAGGTGTGTAATTCATTTCCTTTCCACATCTTTCGGCGTTACGGAAGCCCGCTAAAATTCATCTTGTTCTGGTCCTTTCACCCCAATGATGACTCGTAGCCTTCTTGTTGGATCGATCAAGATCCTAGTCCGTCCTCGAGCCACACATCTATGAAGGAAGTCTTGCTCCGAAAGTATCTACAAAGACGTAGGGTGCTTCCTATAGGTTTCTAGTGGAGTGTCGTGATTCTTAGAGTTGTGTAAAACCCCTTGAAACAAACAATGAAAGACTTGTGCAAAAGTAAAAAAAAATTAATGGAAAAATTATCCAACAAATCATAAACATATTTCACTTTTACCAATTCAATCCTAAATCTCTTTATTTTGCCAATTGAGTTATAAAATTTTTCGCGTTTTGGCCTGAAAATTACTCACATGGACATCGACCATCTTGTGTGATACGATAAGAGCCGACGTAGATAATTTTTAATAATATTTTTTGAATATTTTTTTTTGTTTTTTCTTTTCTTTTTCTTTTTCTTTTTCCCTTTCTTTTTCTTTCTTTTTAACACCTCGCCGGCCACGGGCGAGGGCCAGCAACCCTCGCCTGGTCTAGGCGAGTTCGACACCCTCGCCCGAGGGCTGGAGTTTCGATTGCTTTTCCATCGATCATACTAAAGCTTCGGTTGACATTTACCCTGACACAAACTACTTAACCATGATGGAACAATAGATGTAACAGTGCATATCTATCGGCCAAAAAGGATATGAAAATGCAATTTGTAGTTACAAAAATAACATCATTGGACTCCAGCCCGAAGATGAGCAAACGTTATCGTACTCATAATGGGCGTTGCAAGTGCGCATTAGTTGGCGCCAGGATTGTTTAATCAAATGTCATCCGGGAATCCTACTCTTTTGGTTTGGTCCGGCGACCATAATAATAATTGGAAAGGAGGAAATATTAACGCATCTGAACCGTTGATCATACGACTCTTTAGAAGAATAAAGGTTGGTAATTTTATGTCGATTTGGATTAATCTACATTTTCGTCAGCGTTTACTTTGTGGTGGTGCCGGCGCCGATGCTCGCTCCCCTTCCGTTGTGTTTCTATACTTTCTTTCAAGTCTGGGAGTCGGTCTTTCTATTGTTTCCTAATTTCGTTTGGATTAATTTTTACTTTTCCCTTTTTACATGATTTAAACTTTACGACGAACACATTTAAATCTTCTTCCTTTTTTTCCTTATCGTAGAACACCTGAAATTTTCACAACACACACGTAACGCGTTTGAAAATATTGATAATAGGTTAAATTTTTTTCAAAACATGCCCTTTTTTTTTTTTTATGCGTCACTTCATTGGCCTTATAGGTGGCCATATCAACCCCAATTTGTCATGTTAGCCGCCACGTTTACGTGCCGACATGGTTTTTGATGGCCAAAGTAACAAGGACATATCTGATACAAGTAATGCACGTTTCCCACATAATTCATATGGTTCATGGTATTTCTTGTACCAAGTATGAATTTCCAAATTTCATAAAGTATATTCCTATAAGTTATGTAGTGTCCCACATAAGTTGTATGGTTAATGTTTTGACCCCAGCAGAACGCTGAGCTCATGATTATCTCCAACTTTTACCATTATAAATTTCATTTTGAGAATTCAGGGCACGAGTCAAAATACTTAATTACACGAAAGTCATGAAGCACCTACAAATCTCATGAACCGGTTTATGAGGCTATATTTAACCGGAGCAATTTGTACGCGATTGATAAGATTTGAAAACGCGGCGTGGAGACGTGAACTTTTACAATTAAGGAAAAGTAAATCACGATCTTGCACTACTAATATACGCGGATCTTATAATAAACTACTCAAATAATCATCCGGCAGAGTGGTAGCCTGCTGGTTGCTGACAGGCGCCAGGATCTTTCCCCAAAAGGTGCAGTTGGCAGCCGCTATGGATCTTCTTCTCTTATTCTCCCTCCCTCCATCCCAAAAAGCGCAAAATTCACCAAAAGCCATAAAATTTAACTCAAGAGTACGGTCGAATTTTAAAACTTTAAAAATATAGCATAATGAAGCCTTAAAATTTATTAAATTAATACAATCAAATCGTTTCGTTAATAACATCATATCGTACATGCCTCCAAGAGGTTGCGGCCGGTGCGGGAGTCCGGATTATAAAAAAAAAAAAAACACCATACCGTGCATGTTAGGACGATATTTTTTTTGGTCATGAATGTTTTTTTTTTGGTCAGAAATGGCCGTGAATGTCGAACGATGAATCTTAGGACAGTATATAACAGAGAATGTGCTGCTCAAATTTGCCCGTTGCCAACGCGAGAGTCGGGAGCGGAGCAGCCTCCTCCGTCGCGAATCTTGATTCATTCTTGACCTCCCACAGACTCTTTCTCTATCCACTCTTTCCTTTCCTTTCCTTTCCTTTGCTTTCCTTTTCCATTCCTTTTACTTTTATGGGTTTGTGCTTCTGTTTTGAGGAGGCGGAATTTGACTGAGAAAAGAAGAAAGGGGAAACAGGGGAGAGATGCAGAGGCCGCAAGAACAGCGTCCAAGATCTGCGAAATCCAGCGCCACCATCCACGGCTGCGCGCAGGCCGGAGACATCACCGGCCTCCAGAAGCTGCTCAGGGACAACCCGTCTCTCGTCAATGAGAGGAACCCCGTCGTAAGATCTCCCCTCCCTCTCTCTGTTGGATCCTGCCCCCTGAAACAACGCGTTTCTTGCCTCCTGGATTGGTCGACCGCTTTAGAATTCTGGGCATGGAAAAAAAATGCGAACTTGAGCTGCCTGCGAACGGATGGATCGTGCTTGTGCATTTTCTGCAATTGGGTCGTTTCGATTGTGCGAATTTATTGAAAGGTTACTACGTTGTTGGGTTTTCAAAGTGATGCGTCGTTGGGATGTTAGATTTTAGGGTGTGGGAACGACATTGCCATTCAGAAGAAGTATGGGCGCTGCGAAGTGAAAAAAGAAAAGGTTGGATTTGGATCCAGTGAATGTTTAAGCAGGCCATTAGTTTCAAATTTTGCGACTTTGAAAGTCATCTTGTGCAGTGACTCTCTTATGATCCTCATAGACGCCTTTAGTAGCTCTTTTACGTTTAGGAAGATAGGTTGAGTGAAAGATTTGGCTGGATTCTGTTAGAAGGAAAATGGTTATTAGCTGTTTTAGCTGTGATTGTGAGTGTTGACTGTCTCGATGAAACTAGAAAGAAACGAAGTTCAAGGTAATCGAGGTGCATTGCGGAACCTAGAACATGGGAAGAAATGAGTTGCACCCTTTTTAAATATTTAATTTTTTCGTTATGCATGCTTGTGCTCTTCGACACAGTGAGGGCAGGGTTGGGTCCTGCGCTCAGTTCCTCACATTTTATTTTGTATCCCCTGATCTTCTGCTTGACGGTGGTTGGTAAACATGTAGTTTTGAGGTATCAAGTTTTCATCATTCTATCATCATGCTGAACATGAGGGGAAGTGTTGAGGATCATAAAAGATTTAGTTCCGGAGTCCTTCTCAAGAATGTTGGTATATAAGCTTGAATGTTTCTAAAAGTTC